ATCACATGGGCTCTTCTGTTTTGAAACCCTTGGTTTCCTGCACTGATGGCGTGTTGGGGTTGATTGCACTAAGTTTGTTTGATGTGTGCTATGTTTGATGTGATTGACTATGATGTCACCTGGTTTTCAATAAACTATATGGAAAGGGGCCAGGAAAAGCCCCTTTATTTGGCAAAGAGTATAAGGAAATGGAATCGAATAAAGTCTGAAGAGACTCTGAGGAGGACATAAGGAGCAATAAGCAGAAGAGGTAGAGGGATGCACGCATAGAGCAGAGATGAAAAACATGATGACAAATGACCTGGTGCAAGAAGAAATGAAATTTGCAATGAAATGAAAGCTCTTCTTTACACAACTCAAGTAGCGTGTCCTCTAGCTCAATCCAGCAGCATTGATTTAAATAGTTAAAACATAACCAATTATTATGCAGTTACTAATATAAAATAAATGGATGAAATCACATCGGAGTCCTTTGATTAAAGCATAAAAGCAAGAGATTTCAATGTAATTTGCATTTTCAATATTGCTTTTCTGTTATGAGTCACTGACAATGTGGAGCTGCCATGATGTCACTCTGCTTCTAAAATTCATCTAATTCATACTTACTGAATTTGCACTAGTTCCTTCCCAGATTCTTATAGTTCTTACAAGATTCTTATAATCCTATTACAATGATTACAAATATCTCTACAGCTTTAAAGTTAGACTGAGTTTTTCCTGTAGAAAATTTGAAACGAGAGAGAATGTTAATTACGGCATTGTGATTTTTTTTTTGCATTCTCTATACTTTAGATACATTTTTTGTTTTGGAAAAATATTAGGGCTGTCCGTTTTCCTGTGGGCAAGGAAAAGAGGCATGTGTGTATCAGATATGCTGGTTCCTTTCTTGTTCAACTAAAATTAAACTGAGAGAGGGGCCAGCCCAGTAGCATAGTGGTTCAGTTTGCACACTCTGCTTCAGTGGCCCAGGGTTTGTGGGTTTGGATCCTGGGCACCGACCTACACACCACTCATCAAGCCATGCTGTGGTGGCATCCCACGTAGAAAATAGAAGAAGATTGACACAGCTGTTAGCTCAGGGACAATCTTCCTCAAGCAAAAATAGGAAGATTGGCAACAGATGTTAGCTCAGAGCCACTCTTCCTCACAAAAAAAGAAGAATTAAACTGAGAGAGTTTTACAGCACAAAACAGATGGATTCAGTTCAATAATTTCCCTCCAGTATTGTTTATCATCTTCCTTTGATTGCCCAAAGTTCCTTGTGTCTTGACACACATTTTCTCATGCTCTCAGGAGCAAGGAATGAAAGACTAAATTACTCAAAGGAGCTGGTATTCTAGAATTTTTTTAAGTTATATTTTTAATTTTTAAATGTTTTAAGTATTTCGTTTGAGGGTAATTTGATAAAGATTTATATTTTGTGACCTATGGCTTTTTTCTGGAGTCTCTTAAAAGCACTCAAATATAAAATGAAGATAAATATAGTTGAGAGAATGCATATTTATCTGAATCCCTTCATTAGTGTGTGTGTGTAAATGTGTGAGTGTGCAACATAAAGTTGGATGAGACTTCAAAGGTCATAAAGTTCGTCCCTCTAACTTTAGACATGATTACATTTAAAACATTTTAGAAAATAATCTGTTTTTGAAGACTTATAAGAAGGCCATTTGTCCCCTTTCCTTTGGAGTATCCTGTTCCTGTATCTGGGATATTTATTTGTAGACTATCCTTTCTAGAAGGAAAGAAGTATTTGGTTATCATCTGCACTTTTATCTCTTTATCTATTTGAAGACTAAAGTACGTAAATATGTGCCTCTTTCCTGTGGCATTTCTAATCCTTTCCGTTTTTAAACCTTTAAGTAAACTATGGTAATGCACCCTGTGGGAAATAGTAGTGTGGCCTGGGAAAAAAAGGAATTTATATATTTATACCTTTATCTTCTCACCTGCAGAATAAAAATATCCCTGCTTTTCATGGTGTTGCCAAGACCCATGCTTGTTAGAAGTGTTCGGAACATGTAGACAAATAGCATTGCAGAAGCAAAGCACGTTTCCACTGGTACAAGGTTTAATTTTAAGTTTCGGCCCAGGCAGTAAATTTGGAGTCCTAAGTCTGCTTATTTGTATAAGTTTAGTTAATCTGTGTGTTCTAAGAACTCTAATCGTTGAGTGGATTTTTAAATTTGTATGTGAGAGTGAGTTGCATTTCTCTGAGGATATCAGCTGGCAGCTACTAAAAATTAGCAATGAAAAAAATAATCACTCTTCTCTTAAATTACCTTAGAAGATAGATCGTGTCAAGACAGAGCTGGGCAGTGTTCTCACAGGCTTTGAATTACTGTAAAAAAGTGGTAGGAAACTGTCAGAAAACTCACAATTAGCTATGAAAATAATAAAGGAATTGCCTAAAGCTCTGGCTGTCAGGAGTCTCTTTTTTTAAGATACAGCAATTCAAAGCTTGCCTTGCCCCGCTGGCCCTGTACAGCCCTGCCCAGCAACGTCTCGGACCAAGTTCCCGGCTCCCTTCTTCCTCTTTGCTAAGCTGAGCCACCTGACCTCCTGACTGATCCTCTGATACCCCCCAGGGAAGTCCCTCTTTCTGGAACATGCTTTCCTCAGATGCTTGGCTAAATGTCTTCCATATTTCATCAGGCCTCTCTTCAAATTTTTCTCCTAGAGCGCCTCTGCCCTTCTCTATTCTCTACCCTCTGCATTACTTCTCCTCACGTCACTTAAAACTACTTGATTTCCTTTTCTTTCTTCTCTTCCTCTTTTTTCTTTCATCTTCTTTCTTCCTCCTCCTCTTCTTCCATTTTTAGTTTCTGTCTCCCACAAAAGAATGGAAGCTCCGTGAGAGCAGGGAATTTTTCTGTTTCGTTACTGCATTCTTAGTCCCTGAAACAGGGCACACAGTCCATGTTTGTTGAGTGAACAGATGATCGAGATATTTACTCTGTGCAAATACCTGTCACCTTTATACCACGTTATACCCTGTCCAGCTCCTTAATGCTTACATTGCTTTTCTAAGATTATCTGGAGACTCAGTCAATCTTAATCTAACAAATAGTCTAAATTAAACTAACCCTTTCCAACCTTTTTTTACATCAAAGCACACATTTATGTAACATCCGTGTATATATGTAATATTGTATAATATTTGTGAATATGATAATGTTATATAGCAATGGAGAAATGGGAAGGGATTTAGAGCTTGGTGAAAATTTTATTTCCTTTATTTTATAAAATTATAATAAAATCTAAGTATAAAATATTAGAGATAATGTTAAAAATTGAATTTATTCTGGAGCTTCCAAATGAAATCTTTCTTTTTAAAAGTTTTACAGCCATTAGAACTTCATAGGGCACGTGTAACCCACTTGCTGCACACATGACAGATTGGGTGGGAAACTCTGAGTTAAAAATTTAATGAACTTAATTTTCTTTGGCTCAGGAGATTATGTAATATGAAAATTTGTCGGCATCTTTGGTAAAATAGCTGTCTTTTAGATAGAAATAGACATCAAAATTAAAACCATAAGGCATGTCATTGTAAAGAGAGATACAAATGCAGCCTAGTAGATAATGGATTTTTCTTCCTCCTTGGGCAGTCTCTGGTAGAAGTATGAGCTAATACACCACATTTTACTAAGAATAGCTGGATTTTCTTCATAGTCTCCTACTTACTAGCATTGTGACGCTGGAAAGGTTATTTAACCTCTCTGGGTCTGAGTGGTTTCAGTGGGTAAGTGTAAAAGCAGGGGATTAATCTGTTGATCAATAGAAAGATGGAGAAAAAGACTAGGAGGGGTAGCTGGCCTCCACAGTTAATCAAAGGAAGAGTGCGATTTCTCGTCTTTTAAAACGAAACAAAACAAATAACAGTGCCAAAGAGAAGTGAAAACGAAAATGACAGAAGCCCTTCCACAAGCTTCCTGTTCCTTTCAGTGGACCAGAAAACTTTGGGTGTGATAAATAAAAGGTTTGAGAGAACTGGACATTGGAAGCGAATTAAGCCGGCGGCCAGGTCACCACATAGATTATTCGATGATGTGAGAGCTGCTGGCTGTACGTTTCCCCAGAGTGGTGAGAAATAGAAAATGACTTGTAATGGTTTCGTTTCATTTGCTTTACAGTAGGTTGGTCAGCCATACAATCATGCAAAACAGTAAGCGGGTAGTTGTTGAGAAGCTCTTTCTCTTTAGTCTTCAATTTTAAGTGCAGGCTGCCTTCTCCATGTTTGGGAGAGAGAGACTTCAAAAGAGCGCTCCCTGTCCTCAAACATCAGCACTTTGAAATCCAAGCCAGTGTTCTGCAAAATTTTCACAATCCGGAGTAAACACAGTTTGGCACAAATATCCACACTCAAAATATAAGCTTTAAGCCTATTGTTTGATCTGAAATGGATCTGAAAACATTTTTAAATGTTTTCTTCAGAAATTATTCTGATCAAAGTACTATTTCACACAAAGTAGTTTCACTGAAAACGTGGACAATTAATAAAGTTAATTACCTCTCAAAAATGTATCTTATTTACATATTTGAATCATCACATGCCTGCCAAATTCTGCTCCACATATGTTAATGTTTAAAACAATAGCAGATCCTGTTGCTGCTAAAAACTTCACAACCTAAGAGAAGGCAAATGTGAGAAAATTTTAGTTATTGTCATCATGTCAGAATGACAAAAGAAACAAAAATGGGAGAAGAAAATAATATCCTTCTGTCCTGAAGTTGCTCCAGAACACCAAGGTTTTAACTGGATTTGCCAACATCGCCACTGAGATTTTCATGATGATTCGTTCCTCGCGTTTCATGCTGTGGAGACTCCCCCACTGGTCACCCTGTCTGCAGATGGTGACGTTCATAGGAGGCCAACCCTGTGGCGTGGGTACTCACATGATCCTTATTGAGTTAAAAGGAGTCCAGGGTGAAGTTTGAGTTGCAATTTTGAATTACAAAGACATTTATTTACTGACTTAATAACTCTCTTTCTTTGTCAGGTGCCCTAGCTAAAATTTCACCTCTTTCCTCGCCCTGCTCCTCACCTCTCCAAGGGACTCCTGCCAGTAGCCCCATCAGCAAAATTTCGGCAGCGCAGTTTCCAGAATCTTCTGACACAACTGCCAAACAAGGCCTAAGTTCTCACAGGGCCTTAACTTATACTCAGAGCGCCCCTGACCTGTCTCCTCAGATCCTGCCTCCACCTGTTATATGTAGCAGGTAAGGATTTTATATTGCTAACTAGAGTTTAACTAATAGTAAAACCAATACTGGTTTTCCACGCTCACCACCAGTCCACGTAGCTATGTGTAGGTTTGCCAAAGTAGTTGCCAAGAAAGTATAGGATAATGTGATTTGTGTTGAATAGGCTATAATTGAAATGTATTTTTTCAGTGGTTTTCTATTAATAGAAAGTTTAGGGTCCATATGGTCCAAACAGCTGATCTCTGAAGATGATGCGAAATAATTAGTTGTATATTTCATCTGCTTACTGATGCAGATTGCATAAAACATATGATTAAAAGATCATATCACCTAATTTAATATACTTTGATATTTTGTTGGAATATTTTTTCACTTGTTCCCCAGGAAGGATTTTATATTGATTTTAAAAGTATTTTATCTTAAATTTGCAATTCCCATTTTATCACTTTAAAAATGTGCAAATAACACATGGCACGTTATGGCCGGACTCAAACGGGTCTCCGAGTGCAATTGAGTAATTGCTTGTACTGCTCTGTCAGGTTGAAATACAATAACAAAGTGTTGTCTTTTCACAGAGGATAAGAACAAAGGGTCTAGTGTGGCAAGAGTAATTGTTTTGCCAACATTGTCACTAAGAAATACCTCCTCTGACTGATTCACGAATTATTATTCTTCAGTAATAACTTCATCTTGAATAACTGATCTTAAAGCATTATAATATTTTTTTAAGTAGAAAAGAGTTGAGTGTTTCTAAACTATAATTGTGAGAGTGCCTTGAATAAAATGCTGTTTCTTTTCAAAGCTTAATGAGGATAACTATTCGAATAAATTAGTTACATGTCAGTCTTCTAATATCACACAACTTGGTTCACAGGCCCAGATTTGATCAATATATTCAGTTCGAAGCCTCACAAATTTGATTTTCAGATCCTTTGTTCATAAATTCTATAAGTTAAATGAATGTTATCTCTTCTTATAATCTTTATTTTTGCTTCCTTTCTCTTTACGAATATTTGTAAAGGGAAAATCATTTGTGCTTGGCCAGGGCCACAGTGAAAACTTATTCTTCCATCCAAGAGTTACTCTGCTGACCTCTCTATGACAGCTTTTTTAATAAAATAATTTCTGTGGCATGTTAATCCCATCTTTTTTCCTCTCACAAAAAAAAAAGTATGATCTGTAGTAAAATAGACATATTTCCCTCTTGACAATTCTCAACACACATCACTTTATTAAAAGCTCTGAGAAGTTCTGCAAAAAGAAAACTTCTTACTTTTTGTTTCATCTAGCATTTTCTGAATTTATTTGACTGCAGAACCAATTTCTTTAGGTTAACACCCAATAATTGCCCATAGAGCTGGTGTCTGGTGGAACACCATTAAGAAACACTTTTTTTGGTATGCATCCTGAGCCACGATGAAGCCCAGTGGAGTGAGCAGCATCAAAGACATCTGTTTCCAGTGTTTCTAGGGAGACTCTCCCACTGTGGCCTCCAGACTTGTGGGAAACAAGCCACCCAAAGAAAGACGAGAGATGTTCAGAAAAGATCTACCACTCACATAGCTTTTCTCATCACAGTCTAATTTTTGTGTTCTTAGCAGGAAGAATGTAATGGGATTTTTATAAAAGAGGTTTTGGAGAAAAACAAGGAAATTTCACTGCCTACTTGTTCAGTAATGTTTATAAATCCAGTAGTGTGTGTTTTATTTGTTTGGGCTTTATAAATCTATAATTCAAACCATGTTTTATTATTGCCTTCAAGGCAGCCACCCATGTAGGCACAGAGAGCTCCAGAAACACACGACTAATTATTGTGGTTTCCCCTGCTGAACTCCAAGGGTTTGGCGTTGAATCCTAGTCTCTTGGCTGCTGTAATGTCTATGCAACAAGCCTTTGTTTTGGCATGAGAGGTAGTATATTTGAACTACTGATTTAAATGTTCCTTTTAAGTATTATCTTGCAATGAAAAATCTTAAAACTGATAAACTCTACTTCTACCAAGCCTCATCCGAGAATGCAAGACCATTGTTTGTATCTACTTTCTTTTTCCTTTGGTCCTGTCGTTTTGTTTTGACTCCCTAAATCAAACTGATGGAATTTCATAATTAGAAGCATTTTGCGTGTCATGCTTTTCCACTTACATCCAAGGCTTGCAAAATAAATGTACTTATGATGAAAATACTCCTGACCTAGAAAATGCTTATCTCTATTACACATATAAGCACAGTTCAGGAAAAAAAGCGGTGAGACATTTAATATATTAAATTGTAAACTATCACTCATTTCTTTTACTTTTTAGAGTAAGTAATCTGTGGTTAAATAACAAACAAATAAAAACCCTCTGAGACCCATTTTAATATTAGGCAGAAGGAAAGAACCCAGAAGCAAAACGCAGAATTAAAATCTAACCGTGAAGTCTCCTAACAAGATAAATGAGACAGGAAACTGGCCAGGTTGTTTGTGGGGTTACTTTCTAGTTAATAAAACAGTCAAAACTGTTGAGAAAGCAAAAGTATCCTCCATCCTCCAACCTCCTCTCTTAAAGAGCCCCACCACTTCTCACATACCTTCGTTTTTCTTGGACACCCACAGTGTACCCCATTGGCCTCTTTTTCTCAACTAGCATCCTATGTGGTCAGTTTTACGTTCACTCTTCATCAAAATGTCCCTCTACTTTCTTCATTTCCTTAGGGTCTTAACAGGTGACTGATGAATCTGAAAAAGAGAATTTTTATTTTGTGGCAAAAAATAAAATCAATATACTATCATTCTATTTTCACATATGCAACCTTTTCTTAAAGGACTCTTCGGACGTAAAATGTCTTAACTCATAGAAAGAAATCTAATAATGAGGCTATTAAGCAGGCACAAAGGGATTCCATTGGGGAAGATATTTTTGACCAAATGCACGTCGCACCTCCAGAATTGCTACTCTGCGTAAGTGGCAGACTTTCCCAGGTTTCTCTAAATAATGTAACAAAATTTTGCCAGTAGTTGCACTTCAAATATGGTCTGGATTTTGGAGGAGGATGCGAGTCGAATGAAGTTTCTGATCCTTTGTGTTGATCGTGCTCTTGCAAAAATGCAAACATTATACTGCATGTCAGCATCCATGTACAACACAAAATGAATTTTTTCCATCAAACAAATAAGTAGAAGGTAGAAATACTTATTATTATCTATCTTAATGTACACTTAGATGGTATATGCCTATGATTCTTTGAAAGGAGAGGATATACTTACAGCTATTGCAATATTTCTCAGCTGCGGCAGACCGTATTCCCAAGGGACTCCCGCTGATGGGCCCCTGGAGAGAGGCAGTGCGGCCATTCGGACTCCAGGCAGAGCAGGTAATTGTTTGGATTCTGTTCCTCTAGATGGAAATCGCTTTACTTTTCTTTTTTCTGATCAAAAAGGTAACATGTGTTCCTGATTTTTTAGATTACAGAAAAGACAATGAGGGAAATCAAAATCATCCATAATCCTACTACCCAGAGTGAATCATGAGTAAAATTTTTGGTGCAAATCTGTCCAAAATGTTTCTGTACATCTATACACAAATGTATATATTTTTTTAAAATGAGAGGCCATTTTGTATAATGTATAGAACTATGTAGAAATGTTATTTTATCTTGGACATTGAAGGGTCTTCCATTTTAGGGTGCTCTCTGGGATCTGCATTGCAGACCTTGAGAAGTGACCCTGCTTAGATCACTATAAGCTCGTAAAGAACCATTGTTCATTAAGACGGTATTGTGGAGAGGTTAAGAACACAGACACTTGAAGCTGGTTTATATCCTGATTTGGCTACCTACTTCTTTGTAGTCTCTGTGCTTCAGTTCCTTCATCTGTACACTGGAAATAATAATAGTATCTACCAAACAGGATTGTTGTGAGAAGTAAATTCCTTAAAGCATATCACGCTCTTATTATCATCTGGGTCACTGTAAGTAATCTGTGTGTGCTGCCATTACAATAAGAAGTATTATTTATTTTTATTGATGCAGCCCTAGGGACTTGCTTTTGTTGGTGCTGAAAGTTCACAAGGGAGAGAACAATGATTACTATGAACTATAGACTTTAGGGTGAGAGAGTTACCTAAGAATTATTCTCAATTATTAACTTCAGCATTTCTTGATACATACTCAATAAGTGTTGACTGGTTATTGCCTATAAGAATGGTGTGCTGCAGCAATGTACAAAGGGCAGGGGACATAGGCAAGGAAAAATCAGAAGGAGAATTCTCTGTGTGGCCGTTATCTGATATTGCAACATTCCAAAGACTCAGAATATTCCCTTTTCTATGTCCCTGATCTTCTCTGACGCTACTGAGGCTATTGGAGAAGGGGAATATGTCCTTATCACCTTTGTGGCCTCATGTAGAGCTGTGGCCTTTGAGTGTGCTGCTTCATTTTTTCTGCAAATTCTAGGATTGGAACTTGTCAATTACATTTTCATACTGTGTCTGATTCTAACATGGAAGTGGTTGCATGAGGAAGATGGGTCCTGGGAAAAGTCCTACAAGATGCTCCTCATAGGAATAGGCTACATAACAAAAGCCATTATTCACTAGCAACTTAAGAAAAATCAGCAGACGTCTGAGGACATACAACTAACCTGGAATATCTGAAGCAATCTTGAAAAATGAGAATAAAGTTAGAGGAAATACCTTACCTGACTTCAAGACTTAAACTACAGTAATCGAGATAGCGTGGTGCTGACATAAGGACCAGCAAGGAGATCAAATGGAATAGAGTAGAAAGCCCTAAATTAGACCCACACCTACATGGTCATTGAATTCTCAACAAAGATGCCAGAGAAATCCAATGGGGTTGGAAAAAAATGAATATCGCCCCCTACTTTATACTACATGAAACATTATTCTGAGTTGGAGCATAGACCTACATATAAAAGTTATCACAATAAAGCTTCTGGAAGAAAACACAGGAAGATATCTTTGTGACTTAGAGGAAGGCAAAGATTTTGTAGGCCATGGAAAGCAATAACCATAAAAGGAAAAAAACTAGACTTCATCAAAAGCAAAGAGTATAGGAACTAGGGTCGGATTTCATGAGTTGAAATTTGGGAGGCAAAATTTACCAGCTGGGTGCCTTGGACAATTTACTTATCCTTTCTGTGCCTCAGTGTTTTATCTGCAAAGTGAGGGCACTAGTAATGCTGTAATGCAATAATATGTGCCTTATAGGATTGCTGAGAGGTTCAGATGTGTTAGGACAAATGAAGTGGTTTCGGTGGTGTTAGGTACAGAGCAAGTACTCAGTAAACTGCATTCAGGCACCATATTCTGCTATGAGAAGCTTGTCAAGGTCTTTGCTCTGGGAACGTGTTCTTTGGATGCTTAATATGACCTGATTGATCCTCTAGTTAGCACAGTTTAATGCTGACTGGAACGAGAGACACTGGAGAGAGGCAGATAAGGAAGCCGCAGATTCCTCGAGATTGAGATTGAATAGCTAGGGTTTCCCGTGCTCTTAAGCACATGCTATTGCTCCATGTTCTACAAGCTGCTTTGTTCTTGGGTGTCAACTCAGTTTCTCCCACCCATGTGCCCATTCTAGAGTTAGTGTTTTAGTCAGCTGCTCGGTGGTTTAGTGTGGTGGGGGATGCATAGAGGAAAAAGAAAAATAAACTCATAGGATTTTTAAAAAGATATGAACTACTGATCTAAACATTATTAATGGGTTATTGAATGTCATGTAAATCACAGCTCCTAATTCCATCTATTTTATTGGGATAAAAAATATGTGCTTTCTCTCACTCTATGATCTTCTATTTTTGGTGTGCAAGCTCATGAAAGCAATATTTCCTCAGCACTATATTTACCATATGCATTCTAGGAATATTCACTGAAATGGGACCCGTTTTTCCATTGCAAGTTCCAGAAGCTCTTCTCTTTCTTTGCAGATGACACTGCTCAAGTTACCTCTGATTATGAAACCAATAACAACAGTGATAGCAGTGATATTGTACAAAATGAAGATGAGACTGAGTGTCCAAGAGAGCCACTGAGGAAAGCGTCGGCTTGCGGCACCTACACGCCTGAGACCATGATATTCCTGGTAGCCCCATGTCACTAAACTCATTCATTTACTTGAGAAATTGGCTTCTGTTACAGAAATTGTCTTAGAGCTAGATCCCTGAATTATTAGAATGACAGATCTCATTTGAATCACACATGTATTATAGCCCTACTCGTACATATCAATATAATTTTTTCCTATCCACATCTTATTCATCTCTTAATGATTCTGTTATTTAGTGATTAAAAATGTAAAATGTTCATCTCCACAAATGATTAGATACTTCTTAACCCAACCTAAGAGTGTAAATATGCATAGGAAAAATGATTATTTCACTGAGTAAAACAGTGTTTATAAATATCCATCAACCAATGAAAAGGAAATATATTAGTTGTCTTAGGGCTTCTGCTGGTTTTTTTCTAGCACCTCCTTGATTTCAAAAGTGAGCCAATATTTATTTTGCTTGTTATGTTAAATCAGTTTTATATTGACACTTCCTACCCATTAAAATATCCTTTAATGGTGACATTTTGTGTGTTTAAAGAGATCCATTTAAAGAGGATGAAAGCATAGATTTAAGTCAAGTTAATTTTGGGGGGGCTGAAATAGTAGAAAATACTTGACTATCGTGTGATCATCAGCGGTTGCCATTACTGTGTTTCTTTTAGCTGATTTACCACATATACTTTCAAATCAAAGAGATTGTCAGATAAAATAATTTGTATGTTTCTTTATCCTTATTATTTTTATTTTCTATTTTTTTGGTAAATGTACTCTTAAGACTGTCCTCATTTGGAACCAATTATAAGATGCCTTTGCATTTGTCTGGTTCATGTTTCTTTGGAAACTGTACATTACATAAATTAAATTAAAATCCCGGAAAAATATGGCAGTTGTCATTCCACAGGATTCATGCTGATTCTGAAGCACTAATACAAATTTGACCTGTTAGAGTAGGAGTGATAACTCCCCCCTCCACTCATGGGTTTCTTTTGAGAGTCCAATATAAGCCAGGAACCCTCGCCCCAGAAAAATTTACACAAATATATAAAGAGATAAATTTACATACAATTTGAGACTGTTCTGAGGTCCTTGAGTTTTTATTTAAGTAGTTATAAGTATAAAAAGTAGTTATTTAACTTATGGAAGAAACATCCATTTTTTTGCTGTAGTATTTGTGAACCAGCAATAGGCAGGCACCTAATAATGTAAAATTCATGGTCTGAAACAGGTTAGGACCTTTTCTCCTTACTTTGGGGTCATTGTCTTGTTCCTCTTGATTTGTTTTTGAAGATCACTCATTCGCCCTGAAGTTTTAAGTCATTTATTTCAGGTAAACTCAGTTGTTGAATTAAACTTACCAAAGTGCGAACTGCTTTGTAGAAAAACTGCATGTTTTAAAACATTTTTGTCTTTATTACAGGACAAACCAATTCTTGCTCCTGAACCTCTTGTCATGGATAACTTGGACACAATTATGGAGCAGCTAAATACTTGGAATTTTCCAATTTTTGATTTGGTGGAAAAAATAGGAAGAAAATGCGGTCGTATTCTTAGTCAGGTAAGAAATGCGTTCATACATATGACTTTAAATATAGAAAAAAACAATTCCTTGGTTGATTAAAGCTCTGTATGTACTTGACGCCAGTGGCAGGTATTGGGTGGAAAAAGGAAATTTTAATACTCAACATTCTATAGATTCCTTGGTGGTGGATTAACAACAGAAATTGAAACGTCAAGTGAGTAGAACACCATATTCTGCCATGGAAATTTTATGTACTTTTTAAGACAAAGTGAAGTGGGGCAGAGATATATAAGCAAGATGGAGAAATTATCTAAAATTCATAGAATTCAGCAAAAGAAAAGTTGACCCAAGCCCTCAAAAGAAGAAAGTTTCCTATTTATAAACACTAATTTGTAATTATTTCCAATGACTACTTTTTTAACTTTTGAATATTATAGTGCTTAGGCTTTATAAAAAATAAGATATTATGCAGAAATATGTTTCCTCCCAGTGTTGTGAGAAACAGATCAAATAGATATCTCTGTCTTTTAATATGGAAAATACTTTTATGTAGCGCAAGAAATATAGAATGCACTCTATTGCTGCATAACAAACCTTTTAGGATTTTTTCCTTAAGCTTAAAGGTTTCCCAAACAAAGAAGTATTTGTTTCCCTGAGGGAGAAAGAAAATATACAGAAATTAAAATTTGAACATGTTTGATCTCAATAAACAAAACAAAGCAATTGATTTGCTCTATTATTGAACACCTATCAAAATACACACCCTTAATTAAAGGGAATGATACAATAATATTTATCAGCTTATTTAAAAATGTTTCAGGTGAATTGTTATAGATTGAATAAGTATCTCAGCAAAGATACTAAGACTACCAAACTTGTTAATATGAAACTTAGGTGAGAATAGAGGGCCCAGATTTATTGGAGCCACTAACACTTACTTCCCTGTAAAACACTGGAAAAGAAATCACTTGCTATACTGACTTCTATTCAGTGCATCAGAGATGGGCTTTCTTCAGACCTCGCAACAAGTATCTGCGTGTGGGACTTTGCGGTGAGGATTCCTGATCTGTGAAGGTTTGAAGGAAGAAGATAGAGGAGCCTTTTCCTCTATTGTTCGGTTCCACAAACAAAGTACTAGTCTAGTCTTCAAGAAGAAAAGTATGTCCCTGCCTTAAAGGAACTCCCGTTCTGGTAGGGAAATTAGATGTATCAAAATAATGACAGTTCAGCTTGCTGCATACAAAAGCAGTATGCTAAAATGATTGATGGAACATGAAGCTCAAAATAATTACAAAGTCTGTATGACATGCAGCTGTTGCCTCTGCTGGCCCATATTCTGCCATGAACACGCGAGGGCTGGAATGGCGGCCCTTGCCCTTTTACCAGGAGTTCATAGCCCCATTCTCCCTCTCTTCCTTTCTCCTCAGTGCTAAGCAACATCTTTAAGGCTAACTGATCTGGAGAACAGGTTCAAGGACAGCTGTTTTTATACAATCTGCCTTAGTCTCCTGCCTGAGGGCTCCTCCTGGAAGGTTATGGATCCTGCTTCCTGAAACCCATTCCTGACTATGATTAGGGAATGATTTTTTCCTGAAAATATGCCTGTCATGGTGCCACAAGAAGATGTGGCAGTGGGTCAGGAAGTCTTCTTTCACTTTTACTGGGGAACGTGTTCCCTGGCCTGGAGGGAAAAATCTCACATTGTTTTGTATTTGGTATATATGTCCCAGACTCCCCAAAACTCTACAATTTAATCTCAGTAACTTTGATGCAGGTATTTTTTCTTTCAATCCCTATTTTACAGAAGAAGAAACTGAGGCTTAAGAGACGATACACTATTCACCTTAAGTCCTAGAATAAATATTGGACCCATGATTTGAATGCAGATATATCCGTGTTGGAAGTCCAGGCTGTGTACCTTCATTGCAACTGCTTTTCAGCCCCCTGTAAAACACATTCACTTATTTTATCTTCAAACTGTCCCAGTGGAGAGTCTGAGCGAGAAGAAAAGTGGTTATTATAGCAGTCGGTTTCACAGCACAGGCGATAGCATGCCAAACGGTGCAGGTACCTCGCTCCCTTGAGGTTCCAGGTACCTCGCTCCCTTGAGGTTCCGGGAGCTGGGAGGTGGGAGGGTGGAGCTTGACCAGCTTTGCCACAAAATGTTTTCTAAGAGTCGTGGATACAAGTAGACCATAGTAAGATTAGAGATAATTCAAATTAGGTTTCGGCAAAATTCATTAGCCTATCTTTTTTTTTTCCAGGCGTCTTTCAAAAGTAAAATAAATGCATAACTACATGATCCTTATTATGTCACTGTTTTTCCAGTTTATAAAACATTGACCTTTGAGAAAATGCAGCTTTATTTGCCCTACTAAGTAGAACTTTATGGTTTTTTTCTTTGATTTGAGTTTATAAACACAAAAATCATGAAGTTTTTACTGTGTGAAAGGCATACTTCTTTCACCTTCGTAAGACTTCAGGACAGCTGAAATGAATTAACTTGAACATTCCAAGAAATCACCTTTTGGCTGAAACTACACAGAGAAAGTCTTACGTCAAAAGATTTTGAAAGAGATGTATGCGCAATGGAAATGACTTCGGAGTCTCAATATACTGCCTGCTTTTTTGATGATTATCGTGTTTATTTTAACAAATTTAAAAAGACAGCATTCAAATTTTGGAACAGTGCTTGCCTTTTTCACTTACCCATATTTACCCACTTAATGATGTCTTTTCTTTATTTAGGAGTTTGGCTTATTGGTGATTCATTTTTAACATCTTCTTGGTGAAAATTCTATTTTAAAATTGTACTTTAAAATATCCTATTGCCTTAATTTTTCGATTCATCTTTCAAAGATTTGAGAGAATAATAGGAAACTTTAGTTATTTGCAGTCCTAATAACATTACTTTTCACATACTGGTGGTAAGATTTGAAACAGTTAAGAAGACAAAATCTGAAGCCAAAATGCTTGGCTTGAATTCTCATTCTGATAATGTGTCAGCTGCGTGATCTTGGACAAGTCACTCAACCTATCTGTGCCTCTGTTTTAATGTTAATAATTAACAGTACCTATCTCATAAGGTGTTGTGAAGATTAGTAATTTTAATATTTATAGCATTAAATTATAAAATGTAACTTAATAATTGAATAGTAATATATATATAAAATTAATTAGAGCAGACATCTCACTTATTAAATGCTATATATGTGTGTCAGCGGCTATTGTTTTATTATTGAAGTAACATGCATAGCTAAATCCATTAGGTATTTATAAACAAGAACTCAAATATGGTTTACAGCAATAGTAAAGAGAAGATAATTAAAAGAAGAACTAGCTTGAAGTATTACAGAAACCATAAACTTCACTTTCTATTGCATTTTTAAAGGGAAGAGGTGGGGATGTTATGTTACACAGAAAAGGGGTAAAAATTAAGTATATCTGCCATTCAGAGTAAAGAAAAGCACATAGAAGTTGACGTACATATTATATAACCTGTTCTGAACCAGTAGCTACAGAGCTCCTTTTAAAACATATGTCAAATAAAGTCACTTCCCTACTCCAGTCTCTTCAATGGCTCCCTACCTCAATCAGAGTAAAAGTCCTTATAAAGATCACTCTGGCTATCAAACCCCAAGATTGTACCTGACCCTATCCCATTCAACAATTATTGAAATTCTACACCTGTTCTCATTCATTTTGTTTTACCCACACTGGCCTTGCTGTTGCCTGAGTACAGCAAGCATACCTCAGGGCCTTTGCACTGGCTTTCCCCTCTGCATGGAAAACTCTTTCTTTGGGTATCCGTGTACCTCTCTCCACATCTCCTTCAACTGTTTCTCAAATGTTACTGGAACGTGCCTATTCTAACCACCATACTTAAAAAAGCAAATGCTGCATTTTCCCTGAACTCTCAGTTCTTCATCTCTGCTCCCCTTTTTCTTTTTCCATTTGACTTATCACTTATCCGAGCATGGTATATACTTAACCTATTATGTCTGTTGTTTGCTGCCCTCCCCTGCTAGACCATAAGCTCCGTGGAGGACAACATGTTTGTTTTTTCACCTGTATATGTTCCTCATACATAGAAAATTGTCAGGATCATAGTAGGCATGCAATAGATATATGCTGAATGAATGAATCCCTTTTTAGTTATATATGTGTATATATATACATATTGTATGTGATAAACATTGAATATATAATTTAAAAATATTATTTAATTTGAATAGATTTAAAGTCAATAACAAAAGAGAGAAATTTAACTATGAGTAACATATCAAAGATTTAGAAGAAGTATTTCAAGAGAATTTTAAGAAGAAATGCAAACAATAAAAATGATGAATAATTCTTTCTTGGTCTCCTGAATTATAACCAACCCTGTGCCTTTGTGACATGAAGTAAGGCCACTTTAAATGCTACTGTACTCCTTTCTGCCACGTGCATAACCATCTCTCCACATTATCTTCTTCTGTGCCTTTATCATTTTTTCCTCCATCATTTGCACGTCAAATATGCCAGTTACATCCAAAGGTATTCACTTGATTTGAGTTACCCGAGCTGTGAAAAAATTGGAAGGAGAATAGTCAGAGGAGAAAGAAGACAAATGAGGAAAAGTAGTTTAGACATTGTGATTTATACTGGATTAGAATAAAGCATTTTTCTCTATATGTTTTAGTCCAGGCAAGCTTTTCCTCTCTCTCATAATTCTTTCCTCTTATCCTTCACTAAGGCACAACTCTGTATTCTTTATCTTCTGGAAAGCTTTTTTTAAAAATAAAATTAGTCCAAATTAAAACTTGCTATCATTCTTTAGCACTTATACTATGTATTATACAGTTAAAAATTTAGTAAGTTTTATTCTCTAGTTATCAATATCACACACAATTTAGAGCCTTCATGGTTTCTATACTGTACACTGTTGTTTTGGTTGGCTGTTTCTTGGGTGTATGTCTCTACTTTTAAAAATAGATTATATACCCCTTGTGATCAGGGACCACAGGGCTAGGCACATCTTCAATATCTGCTTGATTTGTTGTTTCCAGTAAGTGTTTCTATTGGCAGTAAATTAATATGCATGATGGAATGTATACAGTTGTCCCTCGATATCCACCAGGGATTGGTTCCAGGACCCCTAGCAGATACTAAAAATCCAAGGATGCTCAAGTCTCTTGTACAAAATGGCATAGTATTTGCATGTAACCTACACACATCCTCCTATATATTTTAAATCATCTCTAGATTACTTATAATACCTATACAATGTAAATGCTATGTAAATAGTTTTTATGCCATATTGTTTAGGGAATAATAACAAGATTAAGAAAGTGTGTACATGTTTAGCACAGATACAACTATCATAGGCTTTGTTCCCCAGTTGGTTGAATCCACCAGTGGGGAACTCACAGATATGGAGAGCCACTGGACTTTTCTTTCCATTTGTCTCCTTATGTCTAATGCACTAGAAATGTTTTGTAAGGCTTTGTCTTTCTTTCTCTTTGACAGGTGTCATACAGACTTTTTGAAGACATGGGCCTCTTTGAAGCTTTTAAAATTCCAGTTAGGGAATTTATGAATTATTTTCATGCTTTGGAGATTGGATACAGGGAAATTCCTTGTAAGTAGAAGTTATTTGTGAAATAATATTTTTAAAATCTGTCAAATTTGCTATGGGTAGTAGGATATTAAATTATTAGCAGCTAGCACAGAATTGCACGTTGTAAACACTCCGTATGGCCACATGGTATAGTGATTGGAGATGATGGCCTGTGTTGGAATCCTGGCCCCTTCACTTATCAGCTGTATGAGATCCTGGGCTTTACTTAACCTCTATGTACCTCATTTCTTAATCCATAAAATGGGAATCATAATGTCTGCTTTGTAGGATTTTTATAAGGATAAAATGAAGTAATAATTCTAAAGAGATTATAATAGTACCTTGCACATAGTAAGTGCAATTTAAGTGTGTGCCAAATAAATAATTTCTTATTCATTTTATAATGTACTTTTTTTTAATTGGTTGAATTTAACTTTTGTACTGGCATCTGCAGAGTTAAATTACTAACTACTGAGGTTTTTGAATATGAGATAAACCTGGCTGGGAGTAGAGAGACTGGTGGGTGATGGTCTAATGAATAAAATAGAAAAGAAGAGACGTCTGGAAGTGATTGTGGGTAAATTATTAGAAACATTTAAAACATCAGGATTGTGTAAAGACCAAAGGAAAGGATACAACCAAGTGTTCATGTGTATGAACTCTTAATATTGTCAGAATAAGTTTGTCATTTGTAATCATGAGAAAGAACATGGAGAAGATGTTAAATTAAATTTTCAATATGTAGCATTTCAGGTATCATCAGAACATATAAGTAGAATTGGCTTACATGCTACAAAAATACATGGAGCTGGAAAAAATGTCCATAAATCCAATCAGGGAAGTTGTGGAAATGTGTAGAAATCATGTGGTACTTTTAGGAAATAATTGCACAGAAAGAAAAATAGTAAAACATAGTATATTGGTTGGAGCATGTGTTAGAAATGTGTTATTTAAATCGTGTTTTAACTTTTAAGTTTTAAATTTGCTTTTATGTCCCTTGACTTTAGAACCCATGTCTTTTTATAGTTGTAAAGAGCTGAAATTGAGTAAAAATTATATGGTAATAAATAAAGCACAGATATTTCCAGAAAGGAGTAGCGCATTAACCTAGTGATCCATTATTAACATTGTTTTTCAAAATGGCATCCACATGCTACATTGGAATGAAAATAACCAGCTGATGCTATGTGATAGGAAAGAAGAATGAAGAATTGAGTTTACACATTGTGTGACGAAAAAAGGAGCATGAAGAATTGAATCTACAAATTAGATTTGTTGGGGAACATGGAACCCAAAATGCAAGCAAAGGAGGACAGTGGGAGTAGAGGAAAGAGGAACTTAAGAGCACTAGGCCCCTTGGGAGTGTCTGGCCGACGGGGCCATGGAAGTTGGAAGAGAGATATGAAAAAGGAGTAGTTTGAAAGGATCTCAAGATAAGCTTGGCTTTTTTAATACCGTTTTCCCAGGGCCCACCCTGGTTGGCTGCCAGAGACTGACATAAGTGTTAGTGGTTTCTCAAAGGTTAAGGAGTTACATAAATAAACTTTTATAGAAAGGAAGCCACTGAAAATACTGAAGAACAGCTATTCACCAGACTAAATTTACAAATTAATGTACTATTTCCAGAAATATTCTACTGATAGAATGAGCTCTGGCCAAGATCCACTGAATTAGCTTTTCTCAGTTTAATATATCATTAAACTGTAAGAAAGTGGACCGGTGTTTAAGTGTAAAAAGAAGTTTCCAGATTCTAAATTTTGTTATTCATTTTTACATTTTCTTATTACATTTTTATGTTACAAGTGAGTAGATGTTTTTCCTCAAATAGTGGATTCTTCATTCCATGTGAAAATTTGTTGTAATAAACCTGCTTGTTTTATTAGAATTTCCAGATTTTCCATAAAGAAAATTTATTTACGTCTTCTCACAGAAAAGTTTTAGCTTGATTGGTGATCACTTTGAAATAATAATACCTTGTGTGTCGTAGGGTTGTAAATTTAGACTAATATGGATATTTATTAAAAGCTTTGTTTATCATTAATTATAATTAGCATACACGAATGTATGTCTACATATTTTAAAATTTACACCTAGAGAACTATATTTCTATTAGCTCTATCTAAATAAATCAATAACTAAATGAAGAAGCCTAAGAGTAACCAAAATGGGAATATATTAATATGACAATGAGTTAAAATATTAGAAAGTAAGTTTTATTATACTTCTAAGTACACCGTTAGCAATTTCCAAGAGAAAGGGGAAGATATGAAAGGTTTTAAATTTGTACCCAGAACACTTACTAGAATTTGAAGAATCTAGATTTAAAAATAGACAAAGATAAATGGATATTTCATGAAGTAGCAGTGGGTGAGGTAATAAATATAGGTAACTCACTGATAGAAATGTGATACCAAAAATATAAGGATTACGATAAATTACAGTATAGGTTATACTCAATTGCACAGAGAGATAAATAATGTTTAGGATTGTTCATAGTCTCTTTCAATTGGGCATATTGGCTAATAAAGAAGATAAATCAGCAAGTCATTTCATTCATGGATTCAAAGTTACTTTTGAGAATGCTTTTTCTAGTTTCAAGGACGTTTGCCTCTAAAGTATATTCTTCCTAACAACTCTCATTCTTGTTATTCAAGTTGGAGAAATGGGGAGGATGCCTCAGAAATACCTGTAATCACGTATATTTAATGGCAGCGATGAGAATAGTCTTGCTCAACCTGTGTTTAGTTCAGTTCAATTAAACTATATATGCTATGCCCACCAATTTTAAGGCTAGGTACTGAGGTGGGATGGTACAAGCCAGATGGCAGCACCATTATAGTATTAGCTATACCCTAAGGAAGAAAATGTTGAAAGTCTTGCTTCTTTTCTTTAGTGCTTTCTCTCACCCCATGGTGCATAGGAGCATAGACAAAATTTTAAGTTGAAAATCTATGAATTTAGGTCTTAAAAAACTGTGAATTTTGCATATAACTCCAACCCTCTATCCAGCTCACTTCAACTCTGTGCTTAAGGGATAAAGAGAAAGCTGAGAAAACAAGTCTATCAGGACAGAAAAGGGAGATGGGCAGGCTCTGGGAAAGAAGGAGGGCATGCGATGTGTTAATGTGTGCATGTGTGTATGTGTTGTCAGAGAGGCAGAGGGGGTTGCCAGGTGGGTGAGGAAATTATCAAGAGAGTTAGAGCTTTGTCTAAAATGCAGAGGTGAAGGGAGAGGGATGATAATGATAAAGATGATAATAAGGATAGCTCTGATATTATTCCGTACCCTCTTTGCCAGAAGAAGAAGAGGAATCTTTGAGCTTGTTTGTGTGTCCTACAGAGACCGGTTGGTAGCCTGTGTTGACCTAGCTAGCTTCTTGGCTTTGCTCCTGAGTTGGTCACCAGAGAGTTAATGGTGAGAGCAATAGTGATACCAGCCCTTGACCCAATGCTTACACATAGTACATGCTAAGTAAATGTTTGAGTAATAAATGTGTTACCACTTAAAAGGCAGATGGTTTTCTATCCTGGTTAAGTGAAAGCGACAGTGTGATTCTCTGGCTCTATGTATAGGTAACTAGACAGATATTTTTTAAGGAGTCAGGTTTGCTTAGCCATTGTTTTATTTAGTACTTTTGAATGTTTACTCAAAAGCACAAGGAGTACTTGTTTTTCAGATACTGTCTTTACCTAGTTTTTTAACCAAGATTATACTAGCCTCGTAAAAATGAGTTTGGCAGCTTCCCTTCTTTTTATATTTTCAGCACTAAATTATTTACATAGGATTGTTTGTTCATTAAAGTTTCTAAAAATTACGTAGTCTAGGTAATTTATAATCATATATAATATATTATGTATATTATATATTATGTAATATATTATATATATAATGGTTTTAATTTTTTCTCTTTAGGTATTTCCTAGAACTGTATTCCTGAATTAGAATTTCTAGATCAAAGAACATTATTGATTTTGGTTTTGAATTTTGCTTTGTGGATTTAATCAGTATATAAGGGATATATTATTCATCTTATTACAGTGTTTTAAGTGTGATACAGAAGGATAGTACTGTGTTCTATTCGCAGATTATATTTGGGTGCTATTTATCAGACATAAAGAGTTGGGTGGTATAGACCATGGATCTGACCCCGCTGAAGTGTGTCATAGGTCTTTCTTTTATTCCGGTCCTCTACATAGTCTTAGACAGGAGCATGGAACTAAGTATGAGGGTAAACATTACAGTTGTTTCACGTAGTGAGTTTCCTGTATACGTTACGTTTCTGGCAGACGTAGACTCTGGACACAGATTTTTCCACTTCATACATCTGCATGCATAATGGATGTTGTGAGGGTTGGTTTTTTTCTTGTTACTTTGGATATTATGGAGTAATGGAAGAGTAATCAAAGTGTATTTGTCTTAGAATATTTGGCTGCCTTTCACTGAGGTATTAAAATGTTAGAACTAAACTGTTTATCCAGTAGATGGCACCCTCAGTCCTTGGAGCCAAAGTTCACAAATTCATGACTGTTCCTTTGCACTGGTTACAGATCATAACAGAATCCATGCCACTGACGTCTTACATGCTGTTTGGTATCTGACGACGCAGCCTATTCCAGGCCTCTCAACTGTGGTTAATGATCATGGATCAGCAAGTGATTCAGGTACGCACTGAGTACATCTGTGCTCCCTTGTGAACTGTGAGAATGAGTATTTTTTTAAAAAGAAGGTCAAGACACATGATATCAGTTTAATACTTTAAAAAATTTTCTGTTACTTTCATTTTCTCTTCTCAGATTCTGACAGTGGATTTACACATGGACATATGGGATATGTATTCTCAAAAATGTATAATGTGCCAGATGATAAATACGGCTGTTTGTCTGGAAATATCCCTGCCTTAGAGTTGATGGCACTATATGTGGCTGCAGCCATGCATGACTATGATCACCCAGGAAGGACTAATGCTTTCCTTGTGGCAACTAGCGCTCCTCAGGTAAATCTTCCTATTTTGATTAGGAGATTTCTCTAAAGAAAATTAATCTTGTAAATTTGCCTTATGATAGGGACCAAGTGAAGATGAGGAAATCTGTATTTAGCCCTAGGATAAAATTCTTAAGAGATAATGCTAATTTTGAAAAGATATCATGCTTTGTTCCAAGATATTAATGGCAGGTATGCAACTTCATTACCCATGGGGATCCCTTCTCAGTTTTCTTCTTAAGAAAAACTACTTGAATTCATTTAATGAACCTCCTCAACAAAGAAAATCCAACCTGTACAAAAGTCCCTTTCTGAAAAGATTAGAGAGCTAAATCTTTCTTGGACTTTTAAGAATGTAAGACTTCTTTGTAAATAAATCCCATTCCTTTGAAATATATTCATTATAACAATTATGATTCTTAATGGCATTTCTATGGGCTAGTGGGAATTAAAAATCAATTTATTTCACTCATTTGAGGACAATTTTTTACCTGAACACAGTATTCCAAAAACAGTAGCTTTAAAGAAGTTCATCTTAGTATATGTTTAAATTTAAGTTGAAAATCAATCATTAAGGATCTAGGCATCTCCATCATACAGTTGAACTCAGTAAGCTTGTCCTTGATTTAATCAACTGGACCCATGTAACTAAATATTCTGAGATCCTATTGTTCTTTCTGGAGCATCTAGAGGCCAATCCGGTCCCACACTCTGTTTTTTGTCCGTTGTTTGTTTTAATCCTTTCCCAGCTCCCATCCGTTTCCACAACCTCTTGTATAGACTAGTCTAGACTTTTCCTCTAATCTATATACAATACAAATATCCTGATTTTTTTTTCTTGACAACTAATTTACTTTCTTTCAGCATGTCCTTCATACACCAGAATTATCCTCCCTAAAGATAATCTGGCGAAGCCTCTTGCCGGGACCATTTGCCATTCAGATTTTCCTGCCCATGTGTGTGTTTTTACTTACCTCAATATTAATTTTCATGTGCTTAGTCTTTCCTTTTTGTTCTTAATGTCTTTTTTCTATCTTCTAGACCACGCTAGTCTTCAAGCATTTTTTAGTCAACTTATTCATCTTTTGCAGCACCCCCAGCAATAATTTTTAGAGAATTCCAAACAAGGAGATATTTACTATATACCTTTAATTTCTAGATAAAGGGTGATATTTCTTATGGCTGATTGTGAGGTGAGAATATTTTAAATGATGGGCTGCTCAAGGATTCCATTTCTTTGTATTAGTTCTATGTGTTGACTAAGAGAAGGTAATTCTTATTCTAGATGCAGAAAGTCTCTGAGTTCCCTCTTAGGAGTATTAGTATACTTGCATATTTTTTAATAGTTAAATTCCTATGCAAAGAAACCTGATAAAAGCTAACTCTAAACCCCTCATTTGCATGAGTTTGGAATAAAATTTCAAGGAAATGAACTTTATCTTACAAAAAAATGAAATTTAACCAAGAAAAATAATCAACAGTGAATATAATTGCAATAACTGATTCTTAATAACCAGCCTTCACAAGGTTACATTTCTGTGTTCTATGAAAAAAGAAGATTCCAAAAGCTTTGCATTCTCGTTTGTTTTTGTGATTTTTTTTTTTTTTTTAGTTTGAAAAATTGAGCTCTTCACTCTCTTCCTTCTTTGCCTAGGCTGTGCTCTATAATGATCGTTCAGTTTTGGAGAATCACCATGCAGCTGCTGCCTGGAATCTTTTCATGTCCCGGCCAGAATATAACTTCTTAGTTAACCTTGACCATGTGGAATTTAAGCATTTCCGTTTCCTTGTCATTGAGGCAATTTTGGCCACTGACCTGAAGAAACACTTTGACTTCGTAGCCAGATTTAATGCCAAGGTAACTAGATTTGTACCAGTCTTCATTTTACGGCCATATTGAAAAATGTCATGGAACCAAAGTGTCAAACAAAACTCATTGCTCTCAGCTCTTATGTGTCAAATGTGAAAATGAAGTGCAATAAAATGTTTAACCAGAAGGAGGTATATAGGCATTGGTCCTAATTTAGAGATCTGAGAAGTTGAGCTGCTGTTGTATATATTACTTTGTGCTGTAGAGAAATAAAATTTGAATTATCATTGTTTTTTTGTTTGATTTAATCTGCTCTCGTCTTTGTGGTATACTCACATAAATTATCTGGCAGTAGAAGAGGTGAGAACCCTGAAACAAAATTTCATACATCAAACATAAATGTCCAAATGTTAATTCAAGAAAATTTCTTATCATTTGTAGCTACATTATGCTACTAGTAATTGATAACATATGCTAATTTTAAATAGCATTTATTTTCAGTTCCATAATTAATAATTATTTTATCCATCATTCATTATTTTACCTTTTTGATGAACTATTTTACTACTAATTTATGCAAGCCAGTAACATTATTTTAAATAGCTGAGAAGTTCCTCATTATTTGGCATTCTGATCTTCACATGCTAGGAAGATAATGAATATTCTGTCATTTCTTCTCCTTTCAACTTGTGCTTTCATTGAGGCAAAACACATTTTAACTTTGTCCCTCAAACAGGTGAATGATGATGTTGGAATAGATTGGACCAATGAAAATGATCGTCTACTGGTTTGTCAAATGTGTATAAAGTTGGCTGATATCAATGGGCCAGCTAAATGTAAAGAGCTCCATCTTCAGTGGACAGAGGGTATTGTCAATGAATTTTATGAACAGGTAACTAACTTGTTTATCTTAATCCATGCTTAAGCTGCTCATAAATTCACCAAAGCTTCCAAAAGCTGTAAAAGTGTGATCAATCTGTTTCATGTTCATACTAGCAACAGAAACTACATTGGCTAATTTTAATCAGAGGATAAGAAAATGACAAAATTTGAATTAAACTGTAATAATAAAAACTCTAAGATAAAGTTATTTGCAAGTGTTTTGGGGAGAAGAAGACATTGAGATATTGGAATGACCTAGTGAGAAATTAGAAGACCATTGAAATATTGGTTTTTTAAATAAATTTATTATAATAGAAGCTAGTTTAAATTTATATGGATGAAAGTATATCAGATTAAGTTCATTTACTTTTATAATAAAGTTAATAACAACAGTATATGAAAAAGCTAAAAAAAAACAGGCATTTTTGTTTGACACGATAATGTGAGAGTTAACACACTACCAAAATATCTACCAGAAAAACATACGCATGAGGTGATCTCCCCATATTATCCTACACTGATCAGATTATACTTGAAACTTTGTGTTCAGTGCTGTGAACCATTCTCTGAAGAGGAATCCGGGAGGTAGTGGGGCACAGGTGAAGGATAGGGATCAGTGACATCAAAGGACACGAAAGACGTGAAGATATTTACCCTGGTGGAAAACAGAGATGATATAATAACTATCTTCAGATACTTAAAAGACTGACATACAAATTGAGAATTAGGTTTATCATAATGTTGTTGTGGAGGTTAAAGAAGATAAATTATACAAAGTATTTATAAGAAATGTTAGATTGCTTTCTGCTTCCCTAAAAAGGATATGCATATGACCAGTCTATAGAAGTTACAGGGAGATTGATTCCAGGTCAATGTCAGAAAGAAATTTGTATTATAGAGACACCTAGAAATAGGATGAGGTACGTATTAAGCAATAAATTGCCTGTCACTGGACATATTTAAAGAGAGATTAGAAGGAACTTCTGTGGGTATTCATATATAGAATAAAAGGTTTGTGCTCTCTAGAAAATAATGTATTGCCTTTCCTAGGAATGAGATTAATTCATAATCAATCCTGAAATATTGAAATACAGAAAAAAAAAAGAAAAAGGAAAATCCAGGCATAGACATAACCTCTGATGATATTTTGGTATATGTTCCTTCATTAATTTTTCTAGGTAATTACTGGTTTACAATCTGTTATTTTTTTTTTCTTCAGAAAGATTTGAAGCAGGTCAAAATAAAAACACTTATACAGTAGTGCAATGAAACATATAGATAAATAAGAGTATCGAAGCCACATAAACACAGAAGATATAATTCAACCAAACGCTGGGATAAGGTCGCAACTTTGATGGAGCAATAAATTATTTTAAGCTTTTTGGTAGCCAAGGCAAAAAAGAAAAACATGATAGATTGTGTATTTGCTTGATAATTATTGCCAGCATTGCATTTTAAGGTGTATTTATACACTAATATAAGGAACACTGACTAGTGTGATAAGAAATATCATCTACTGAGACCGTTACACCATTTCTTGTAGTTCCGCTTGATCTAAAGCCAAAACCTCAAGATCACAAAAGTGGTAAATAGCCCAAAACATTTCTACAGGAATCTTAGTAATTTGGGTAGAATCTCTTAGCAGTCAAGTAGAGAGAGAGTTCACACATGAAGATTTGGATTCTTACATATTTGTAAAGTTTAGATGCCAAGTGAATGTTGACTTGTATTTTGAACTTTCTTTGTCACTTACCTTTCTTGTTGACTATTCATGCTACATTCCTATTTCTAGGGTGATGAAGAGGCCAGCCTTGGGTTACCAATAAGCCCCTTCATGGACCGTTCTGCCCCTCAGTTGGCCAATCTTCAGGAATCCTTCATCTCTCACATTGTGGGTCCTCTGTGCAACTCCTATGACTCAGCAGGACTGATGCCAGGGAAATGGGTGGAAGACAGTGATGAGTCAGGAGATACAGATGACCCTGAGGAAGAGGAGGAGGACGAAGCACCAAATGAAGAGGAAACCTGTGAAAATAATGAATCTCCAAGTAAGTTATCAAATCTATTTCTAATGTGTTTTTCTTAGGATTATTTTCTTACGTAGAGTCAGATGAATTTTATGCTTCTCGTGAATTACATAGTTTGTGTCCAAATATCACCTGCTGCTTTTGATTATGGATAGTCCTCCTTCCCCAGTTTCATAATAATAGAAACCACAGACTGTGCAATCTTCATACAAAGATATGTTCTCTCTCACAAACTAAAAAGAAATTAAATTGTTGAAGCCTATTTTTCAGAGTATCGTAATGATTTAGAGGTGAAAGGAATTTCAGGTACCATGTAGACCAACCGTAGACTTTTGTTGGCTTGTTTAGGGGAAGGCCATGTGAAAGAGTAAGAGGTATTATTACTCATTCATTTAACAAGTATTTATTAAGCATCTACTCTGTGCCAGACATTTCTCCAGGTACTGAAGATAGAGCCATGAACACAGACAAAAATAGTAAATAAATCCTTGCCCTTTTAGACCTATTTTCCAGTGGAGTCAGCAGACACTAAGCAATCTTAGTATGTGAGGTAGTAATAAATGCTAGAATTAAAATAAAAAGGAAGGTGGATATGAAATATTGCACAGAAAGGTTAAAATTTTAGATAAGATAGCCACAGAAGGTCTAAATAAAAAAAAAGGTAAAAAAATAAATGAAAGAAGTGAGGCGGTAATCCAGGAAAGTAGATGTGGAGAAAGCATCCCAAGGAGAGAGGAAAGGCAGCCATATAAAGGTCCTGAGGTGGGCACTGGCTGGGTGTCCAAGGAGCTTCAGGAGAGCTGGGGTGGCTGAAGCAGACAAAAGGGGTGGGGGAGCAGCAGAAGAGAGAGAGTGGGGAACAAGGGATGTAGGATTTGAAAGTAGGGCTCTGCAGGTCACAGCATAGAGTTTCACTTTTACTCTGAGTAAGGTGGGGCCATCAGAGGTTTTGAGCAGAAGTTAGTTGATTCAAATTACTTTTTTTCTTTTTTTGTGGTGAGGAAGACTGGACCTGAGCTAACATCTATTGCCAATCTTCCTCATTTTGCTTGAGGAAGATTGTCACTGAGCTAACATCCATGCCAATCTTCCTCTGTTTTATGTGGGACACCGTCACAGCATGGCTTGACGAGCATTGTGTAGGTCCACACCCAGGATCTGAACCTGCGAATGCTGGGCTGCTGAAGCAGAGTGCAAAACTTAACCACTATGCCACTGGGCAGGCCCCTCAACTTACATTTTAGATGGATTGCTTCAGCTGTTGCATTGAGAATATTCTTCACTTTGGGGTGGGAGCAAGGGTATAAGCAAGCAATGAGTTAAGAGGCTGTTGAAATTATCCAAGTGAGAAATGACTGCGGCTTTGGACCAGGCAGGGTAGTGGCAATAGTGACAATGAGAAGTGGTCACTTCTGGTCATTAATTTGGAGTGCATCCTGTAGTCAATCTAATCCATTTAACTTAATTGACTATAAACACTTGATTAGTTTTCTTCACATCTTGAAATACTCTCTGCTATTTCTGCTGCCATAGGAAGGAGGCCCTAATAGCATAATTGGTAAAACCTAATAGCATAATTAGTAAAACCTTACAGTGATGTTGCACAAATACTGTTCCTGTGTTCATGAGCACATAGTATGTGGTTTCTATCTTCATAAAGAAAGTACAACCTTAGTATCAATATTTTTCAAAGCCCTTACCAAAAATATTACCAGTGAAGGACATTCTGATCATTTGTTCCTATTTTTTAGTACAGTCAGGAAAATGCATAACTTGGTTCGTATCCAGACCTAGTAAAGATATCCTAACATTGGTATTGACCCATTTGCCTTCATATAAGGACCCTGTTGTAAGCTTCCATAAACAGAGATAAAGAGACTATTATTAACTATAGACTGAAAAGGCAGGGTTTTGCAAATTTGGCTTTAGGTCAGGTTTTTGCTTAAGTTGTCTCCTATATGTGAATTTTTGTACAGAATGGAGGGAAAATCAAAAATTGTTTTCCTTCAATATTCTATTATCAAAGTAATTACGTTTTATTTCTATGATGCTTATAAACAGATTTCCATTAGAAATTTTGTGATCTTGGGACTCAGAGGTTGGAGCCAAGACTTAAGATTCATGGTTTATTTATTCATTTGTTCATTTAATAAATATGTATTACTTTTCTTTTTTTACTTGTTTTCACTTCAAAGAGCCAGGTAGTTTGCTATCTGACTAAGGACAGTTTTTCACTGAGTGATGCTATAAAGTGTTGTCGGCTTAGCCTCTAGAAAAGGTTTGTCCCACGGGCCCTAACTGATTGCTATTTGAACTCAAACACACTGAAGAAACACACACATACTACAGGCATCAAGAAGTGAAGAACCAAGGCCAGGGGTTGTAACAAGCTCAACTTGTCAGCATTGGCATTAGTAACAAATGCCACAACCAAATACTCTATTCCTTTCTGTTCTGTAGGTTTAAGTTGCCATACTGACTTCCAGATTCTGACGTTACTCTCCTGACCTTCTCATTTTTATCAAGCTCCCTAAAGAAGCAATGAGGATTCTGTGGATTCTGTTTACTAATGGCTTCTAAAAGTCAACGGGCCACCTTACGTTAAAATTTAAAATATCCATCAACAGTGCTGTGATACTCTTGCTTTTGAAAAATTTTCTTTAAAGTATCCCTTGATAGCTAAGTAAATGATAAAAGTTGAGCAATGTTAGTATTTCTAAAAATTGGCCACATGGAGATAGGAAATTTTGGAAACGGAAGGAAAATCGACCATCATCCAATTCAGCTGCCTCATTTTATAAAAGACTAGACTGAGGCTCAGAAGTTTAAGTAACATTCCAAGGTGTAGATGGTTTCTGCAGAACCAGAAAGGAAACCCGAGTTTCCTCATTTTTAACCCCGTTGCTACTGACTTAGTAATTTTAATTTCAGAATTCGTGTGGATTTGAATGGTTGACTCAGTTTAGCTTGAAACTGAGGTTTCAGAAAAAATTTAAATTAAATATGCACTGATAATTTCAGCAATTTTCAAAACTTGGAGATCTCTCAGGAAACACAGAATAAAGTGTTTCAATATGGTATCCTAGGGAAAGAGGGCTTTTTCCCCACCTCATAATTAAATCTGAAAGATTCCTACAGCGAACTAAGAGGTTTCTAATGAAGTACTAAGCTGCATTTAGAATTCAAGCAGTGAAAGGCTCTTTGTTCTCATTTCAAAAGGTTCCAGTGCTGAACAATTTGGCTCCCAATACAGGCATGTTTTAGACCACCTGCCGACTCTAATCTACGCAAATTTATTTGGTACAAACTTTCTTCTACGTCACCTCATTCAGTTTTAATTCCGGAGAGGTTTATTGCTAACGTTTAACAGCAATAATAAGAGAACAGCTGCTCTCTTGGGGGCTGCCCCGAAAGGAATAGGAGGAAAATTGAGCTTTTGTTAACTTCTTCCCTGTGAATGCACTGCCATGAATGTGTATGACTTTCAGATGGAATAATCACCTTGAGCAGTAGAGTGTTCCCTATAACCGTTGTTCGAGTCTGTCCGTCAGCCAATGGTCATCTGTCACTCTCTTGACTCAAAGGATTAGGTTCAAAAGTCTATTAACATTTAAACATTTCAACAGAAGCTGATTTGTACTTAACTACAATAAAAACAAAGTAGAAGGAGACAAGTCGATGGCTTTGGTAGAAGAGTAATTTTAAAGATTTGCTTTTAAAAGTCAAATGCATTAGGAATGTATTTTATTGATTTTTATGGAAAGAACCCAGAGTTTTTAAAGTTTTAGTTTATACATATATGTTGCCCTTGTTAAGAAGCCTTCAAATGAATAAATTGATGTCATGCTCCGGGGCCCCGCGCCCTTCTGCCTGTACACATCCCTTCACTCTGCCTAGGATGCTGCCAGCCCCTTCTTCACCCAGTGTATTTAATTCTCCTGATTTACATCTCAGCTCAGGTGTCATGTCCTCTGAAAAAAATCTTACCTACTCCCTCACAGATTAAGTTTCTTGTGTTGCCATGCTTTGATGAATTAGAGAGAAATTACGCCACACAGTTGTAAAAAAGGCAAGGAAAACTTTATTCAAGACTATTGCATGAGGGGAGAGAAACTGAACTCCACTGCACTGAAACAAAGGCAGGAGAGTTTTTAAGCCCTGGGATGAGCTAGTGAAAAAGTACTGGAGGACCCTAGAGGGGAGTTGGTCGATGTGATTAGGCCATCTGTGCTCGCTAATTGGTACTTATTAAGTTAGGCACCTGTGCTCCCACAGAGACTGGAATATAGGGACTCTGTCTTTCTTGATGATTGCTTTTCAAAAGGCTGGCTCCCAGGTCCTTGACGAAGAAGTCCCTGGGTTGTAGAACTGGCTAGCGGCTGGGAGAAGATTTATCTATATTACAAAGGGACAGAGAAAGAATTTACAATTACACGTTTTTTAAAGTAAATGCTCTAAGAAAAGGGAAGTCAGGGTCCTATAGCCTGGAAGAGACCCGTCTAAAGTTTAGGCAAGCTGAGGGGAATATTAAGGCCATCTTGGTCACATGCCTATGTCTATCATAAAGCATAGCATGTGTGTTTCAGTTTTTGTCTTCCTCGCTCTTTCTCCTATAGACTCTAAGCTCCTTTAAGGCAAGCTATTAGACTAATTAGTCTTTATTTCCATAGTATCCAGAAAACTGCTTGTCAGTTAGTAGGCAGTCAGTATAAGCTGGATTGATGGGTCCAACTCATGAATAAAATAATGAATACAGTAAACAGATTTTTTTTAATTCTTATGACTCTGCCTGCATCCATTCCCCCTGGCATTCATTCAATTTAATAATTTTGTTATGTGTCTGTGTGGTTCAGAAGTAATTCAATATAATTTTATGTCCTTTTTCTGAACTTTGTTTTAAAAATTGATCTTATTATCCTATAAAATGCAAGAACTGTCTGTGGTATGTTTTAATAAAACTGTTGAAGGAATCATTAGCAATTCCACAAAAGTTTTGGTGGATGGCCTCCAAGAGATCTAGTTCCTTTGGCAAATCTCATAGCAATTGGCTCTTTTTTTCTTTTTCCTCTTTTTTTTTTTCTTTTTTTTCTATTTGTACTATTTTTTGTCTTCTTTTCTTCCAGATTATACATTGTAAATCATTATTACTTCATTAAGTAAACCCAAATATTCTTGCTGATCACCCTGTCAGTTTGTTCCGTTAACTCTTTAATGTAGTCTCAATTAGATCAGAATTTCCTGTGGACAACTTTTTCACATCATTATCATTTTTATCACCTATCAGCACTTCACCTTTACTGTGAAACAGAAACTGTAGAGAATGTGATTCATTTAGTAGACTCTTACTGAATACTTACTAAAGTCTGGGCCTTGTGGATATACACACAAAAAGGAGAAATAAGATTCTGTCCATAGGCAAGTTTATAGTCTAATGGGAGGATCATAGCCTAACTCCTAAATTCTTGGCCTAAGTCTAAAATGGTCACTCAGATGAAGGTACTGAGAGTTATATTATATTCTGGTTGCTTGGAAAAGAACAGACCTCTCTTCTAAGCTCAAGAGCAGCTGCCTACTTTACCTCTCCTCTTGGAGGTCTCTCAGACACTTCATGTTCAAATCTCCTCCTCATCTAATATTCCCTTTCCTGGTACATCTTACCACCATCTACTCAACTGCTCAGGCCCGATAGCTCAGGATTACCTTTTATTCCTGCCTCTTCTTTATTCCCAACATCTAATCAGTTGCCAAAGTCTTGTTGACTTAAACCTTGCATATATATCTCACATTTATCTACTTATCTTCATTTCCATTACCCTCATCCTAGTCCAACCGACCATCATCATGCAGTATCCTCTCACCTGAGTCATTGCCCTCTTTTTCTGACACCTTTCAAAGACTTTGTAAGACTCAGTATAATTGTACTTACTTGTTCACTCTCTTTCTTCCTACTAGAGTAAAGCTCCATGCTGGCAAGCATTCTATCTATCTTACCCATCAGTGAATCTCTAGAACCTGGCACACATAGTATATACTGGGTGCTTAATAAGTCGGTAAGCAATTGGAAGCCTAAATAGTGAATTATTACATCAATTCAAATTCTTTAAAACGTCTTATGTTTCTTTTGTTGACATTGGTTTTATTACAGTTCCTCAATCAAGAGATGCACTTCTGTGAAAATTGTCTGTAGTACTTCCATTGAAAGCATTAAATTGTTTGGTTGCAAGAAAATATAATTTCGTTATTTATTAAATGCATGTTTGTGAGCCTTGTCATCTTTAAGGTCTGTACAGGACTTTACAAGGCTCCCTGAAAGAGGCTATAGTCTAGTTGAGGAGCCAATGCCTAGACTATATGAAAACAGGATAAGTGCCTTCAAGGAGGTACATATTTAGGACATTGTTTTTGTTACAAGTGACAAAACTCCAATCAACTGAGTATATACAAAAGGGAAAATTATTGGTTGTCGTAAACATGATGTTGGCTAGTATCCACACTTACTTGCTTCTGCTCTTATCTCTGACTCACCTGCCTGACAGCTTATTCTTTCAACCTTGCTTTCTTCGTGAAGCCGGAACTACAGCCAGGTCTATATCCACTTCATTCCGGATACACAAGCAGAGGAGAAGAGAGCTCCAATCCCCATTCCCTGACTTCATGCTCATTCTGTGCTGTTGGGAAAAATCTCAGGGAAGGACTCTGATTGGCCTGACTTGGGTCACATACCTGCTTATTGACTGATCACTGTGACACAGCTGTGTTGTCAGGAGGTGGGTGGGGAAGAAGAGTTTGACAACTTTTTATAGGACTTTGTAATTGAAAGAAGGGGTGAGAGTTCCCCCTAAATGATTTTGGATATGCAGTTACCAGAAAAAGAGATAATGATAAGGAGAAATGGAAACAGTATCTACTCGGAGAAGTATATTTGGAGTGACATGAGAGTTTAGAAGAGAGAGACAGATTATTTCTTAGAAGAGGAATTCAGTGAAATCTGACTGGGTCTTAAAATGATAAATGGACATGAACTGTCAGTGACTGAGAACATTTCAGAAGGAGGGGCAGTGCCAGCTTGAAAGCAGAGGAGTTCAGTGTATATACAGACAAGAGAGCAGTTAAGTATCCACATTAAGTTAAGAAACCAGGCTGCAGAAGGAGGAAGACTGCAGAAGAATGTTTGGCCAGCTTGTGGGAGAACTTTGAGAGGAGTTTGAAATTCATTTTTTAATCCATATAAAGCAGAACGGTAACACCAAAACCATGTTTAAAGAAATCAGTCTTGTAGACTTTTGTGAGTTGAATTGGTTGACAAAATAAAGGAAGACGTAACTTCCTTTAAGGAATAATGATAATTCCTCGAAGATGTGAATGTAATAGGAGTAATACCAAGATACACGCATAACCTTGTATTAGATGCTACCAAGCATTAAACACTGTTCACAGTTACATTTCACTGGTATATTAATGGTTATTGCCGTCTTCCTCTTATTTCCCCACTCTCAAAGATGACATTATTACAATATACAAATCAAATGATAGATAGAGGTATCCATTGGGTGCTTAACTCTTGTTAATAATATGAAAAGAAATAACTGTCATGTACTCAGCACACAAATAAGTAGTCTTATTTGGTGTTTTCTCAGGAAAGAAAACTTTCAAAAGGAGGAAAATCTACTGCCAAATAACTCAGCACCTCCTGCAGAACCACAAGATGTGGAAGAAAGTCATTGAAGAGGAACAGCGGTTGGCGGGCATAGAAAATCAGTCTCTGGACCAGTGCCCCCAGCAGCATCCCTCAGAACAGATCCAGGCCATCAGGGAAGAAGAGGAAGAGAAAGGGAAGTCGAGAGAAGAGGAGATCCCCACCCCAAAGCCAAACCAGTGACAATGGATAGAATGAGCTGTGTTTCCGAACCGAGTGACTTGTCACAGACTCTTTTCAAGCCAGCACAACACTTAGACACGACACTGTAGAAATATAAGAAGATGGGCAAATGGTTATCGCATTGGGGGATTTTTCGCATTTTAAGTGTTTATTTTTACAGTGAGGTACCTTGTTAAAAACTCTTGCTCAGAGAAGCTTTCACATTTGCAACACCAGCTTCTAAGGATTTTTTTAAGGAAGAAATATATATGTGTGTATGTATATAAGCTCTCACGTAGATACATGTAAAACATATTCACACACACATACACACATACACACTGAAAGCCAGGAATACTGGCTCCACAATTTAGTAACGTTCATAGTAAGATATATAGTGGTCACTGTGATATAATAAATCATAAAGGTAAAAATAAAGGAAAACAATTCGCAAGGGAAATGGTGCGGCTTAGCAGGAGAGCAGTGCAGCAAATGCAGGTTACAGCTAAGAAGCTTTTGCTCTTAGTACTGAGGGATGAAAGTTCCAGAGCATTATTTGAATTCTTACACATCCTGCCAACATCGTATGTGTGTGTTTGTGTGTGTGTGGGGGCGGGGGGGGATTGAAAGGGTGCCTGTGTGTATGTGTGTCTGTGAAGAGATTTGTGTGGTTTCAGCGGTTCATGGAATTGCTGCAGCACAGGACTCAGCACATGTGAACAAACAGAAGGGAGTTCAGTCTGGAGTATCTTTGAGAGGCGGCCATTGCAAATGCCTTCCTCCGTTTCGCTTCATAAAGTTCCCTCTGCAGAGGGAGGGTATTCCCTGGCTGGGCGAGAGGGCCACGTGACTGGTACTACTGCAATACACCACTTGGAGGCTCTCTGTCACCAGCCTTAAACCTGGAAGACTGAGGCATTTTCCAATCTACTCGCCTAATGAATGTATAGGAGCTGTTTGTCTATGAGTGTGTCTGTCCCTCACCTGAAATTTAAGGGGATGGCTTTCTTTATACAGAAACACCTAGGAAGGAGCTAGAGTCAGGTCTTTTCATCAGGTTAGAATTCTAAAAGGTTGCCAGAGAAGATCTGAGACATTGCTCTTAACAGTGATCTCCCATGTCTTAATTTACTGCAAAATGTACGGTAGAAAAATTAAAAAGAGAGAAAGGCTAAGAGAAACCCACTTTGGGATTTATAGCAAGAGGGGAAGGGGGAAATTTCCCCCTCGGGTTCGGTGTGTGTTGACAGACTGAAAGCCTGATTCTTGGCAACTGTTGAAGGATTGGCTTTTGGGTGGGGAAGGTCCCACTGACCAACCCTGTTATGAGACTCCACATGCTGTGTGATGGAGTAGCTTCTATCTGCAGTCAGGCCCATCATCGTGCTTCTTTTGGCAGGGAAGATTATAGATGGATTTTGGGGGGACTGGGCCTATTATTGAAAGTCTTTGTTTTTTTTTTTTTGGTTTGTTTATCTACACTTGTTTATGCTGTGAGCCATACCTATTTAAAAAGTTGATACTCACTTTCAATATTTTATTTCATATTATATGTCATGAATAGTTATCTTGATGTAAATATAAAGATTTTTTTTTGTTTCTGTAGATAGTAAACTCTTTTTTTTAAAAAAAAAGGGAAAAGGGAAACATTTTTATAAAGTTATATTTTAATCACCATTTTGATACATTGTATACATGTATACATTTGCTACAATGATACATTGATACAATGTATATGTTTTGATACATTGATTACATCCCCAAGTCCAGAAAAAGAGTGATGATTCATTTGCATGGAGGTCTATGGACAGCCACTCATCTACCTATTCTAATTTAAATGATAATCTGATACAGTTATTTTATGCCAATTAAATGAGGATGCTGCGAAGAATGTTTTTTCACTAGTAACTTTTGCTAACTTTTGGGTTGATACCTCCCAAGTGAAGTACTTTCTTAACCAATACTAAATGTTTGTCATTGGTGTCCATTTCTTCCCAACACTTTTTGGTTGTAACTCTTGCTTCAGGACCATATACGGATCTGCTCATCATGTAAACAATCTTAGCTTCTAAGTACACCTTGATTGTGATTTCTACTTTTTATTTCCTCTGAAGTCATAGAAAAGAGTGTTTACATTAAAAATGCCTTTGTTTCTCATAAATTGATATTATATTCTTCCCTTCCAAAGTGATGGCTTTATAATAATCCATAGCATTCTTTAAATAAGCCAAAGATAATGCAATCAAAAATAAACATGGTTTCAAGGCAGATTTCCCAATAAGCAGGAAAATATGAAAAGGATCAAATGGACTCAGACTGTACCTAAATAATTAGAGCAATTTCAGTATTTTTCTGAGTTAACAACAGGTGTTCATTATTTAGGACTTACCGAGTTGTTTTCCTTTTTCTTAGTATTGCCTGTGTGTCTCAATGTTTGCAAAAATTACTGTGAGTCAAACACGTTTCCCCCATGAATTTAACTGTTCTCCTTCCCTTGCAAATAAGAGAAGGAAAAAAACGTGTTCATATTCACATACGTCTTGCATCTAATTACTTAACAAAACTAATCTTTTCCCTTTCTCCAAATGTCTTTCATCTCTAAAATAAATATAAGTTGAGAAAAAATCTACGTGTGGAGCAAGTAGAATGGTGAGAGGGCAGTTGAGAGTCCATAACCATTTATATAGGCAGCTTCATCAAGGCTGCCTGGCCCCGAGTAGGAGTCATCCTGGCTGCCAGACTGAAGAGCTTAGCAAACTGCCTGGTGTTTGTTTGTTTGTTTTGTTTTAAGATCCATGAAATAATAGGAATACTGGTGGTCAAAACAATTAGAACCTCTTCATTTCATAATTGTGTTCATCAGTCCAGGCAGGTTAATAATTTTTATTTCAAAAATAAATTGCCAATATATGAAAGCTGGAAGTCAATTGAAGCAGAGGAGATTCATCCAGTGTGTGACTGTCATACACACAGAATACATCCCAAAGGATGCCTAGGGACATAAGAAGTTATTTTCTGTTAGTGATGTTCTCCCCTTCCTTGGTGACAGCAATATTACTGTGTTCACTTCCAACTCCGGAGCTTACTTCCTGTGGTGCCAGTGTATTTGTTGCAATTTACTACATTTTTATATGAGCCTAATTATAGGTGCCATTAGATAAACTCAGGTCTTTCAAATGAAGGAATTTCTAGCCCATTTAGGATAAGGATAACTGTATAGACAGCCATAAAACCAATGGTAGGAAAAGTTGGAACTGATGACCTTGATGCTAGTGGTTACTCTCTGTTAAGGCGAAGACCAGGTATACTATGAGTGTCATCGTTGTCATTTCCAAATGCTAATAGAGTGTCTTTCCAGTTATCTATCTAAGGCAACCTTTAGAATATAATTTCCTTGGTGAAAACACCACTTTAGTTTTATTTTTTTTAACTATAAAATTATTTTTTTGTCATTTATATAAGACCTGGTTTTGCTCTCAGTAGAAGATGAAAACAGTAGCTCTGTACAGGGATATATCTATATTGGTCTTTATATGACAAGTGAAGGAATTTCCTCATGTTATGTTTAAGAAAATATCCACTTTCTAAAAACACGATACCCATTTCTTTCTGTTCCATTTTGATGGAATTCCAGAACAAATCCTAACCATTGCAATCCCAGTAAAACTAAAGAAAGGGGATTGTATGTCATGCAGATTGTTCGTATTACATGTATGTATGATGATTTCCTCGTGTCCCCTGTCTCTCTTGATTTGCAATTTCTTGATGCCCCCTGTCACTTTCCCAGAGAACTTTCTTTCAAGGTAAAAGCTGTGCAAAAGGCATGAGACTCAGGCCTATTCTTTGTTTAAATGATGGAAAAATATAAATTATTTTCTAAGTAATAAAGATATAAAAATTGTCATTGTAAATAAAGCCTAAAGTTTGAAATGACTGCTTTATAAAAGTGAGCTATTTGTGTGATAACTCCTGACTAATGAGAAGTGAGTAATCAAAACATCATTTCTATTCTACTTTAGGAGGTATTTTCGGTGCTTCCATGTCAGTATGGGGAATCTCCACTGTCCTCATCACTTACAATGTTTCTAAAATAATAATGAAAACCACAGTAAAGGTCTTAGCATCCTTTGCTTCCATCCAACTCTGATTCCCATTTAATACCTTTCCTGGTTTATATGCCATTTTGGAAATAAACTGCCTTTTCAAACTGGCAGAAGTCTCCAGTAAAACCATTGTGTAAACTTTCATAATCTAGAGTAAATCAAGATTCTCCTTATTCTAGAGATTATCAGCTGATGTGTGGGAAAAATATCGATAAAATTTCAAATGCTAATAGTTCAACTGCAGATAATTGAGAGCTAAAATCTCTATATACTTTGAAATCCAACTGAGTTTCTTCCATTCATCTCCTCTGCTAACAAGCAGCACCACACGTTATGACCATTGTTCTAGGTCGTTAATTTCTCTCGTGATTTATCCATGAAGTAAAAGTAGGAACTTGCTGAGATTGTCGGTCTACTTTTTTAATCTTTTCAACAAACTGCAAGCTTACGATTAGAAGATCGATTAGCCAGTTTAGGTGAAGAGCATTCCAAAATTCAGTTATTTTTAGAATTTCTAATCAGAGGGAAATAGACGAGTTATAGATTTTATATCCATATCAGTTTGTTCCTCTAGAAAATATTCAGATTCTTGTTGGAAACTTGATTGGGGCTGAATTAAACTACAAGCACCGAGTTAATGAAACTGCAAACAATGCATTAGATAAAGAACTTAAATTGAGGTTTGCATAAGTCTTTGCATGTTTCACACTAATGAACCATGTTCAAGAAGAAGAACATATTTTTCAGTCTATGTTATGCACCATGGTTGTTAGGCAGTTTGTGCTATGGCTTAACACATTTCGTTTTTCACAGTGATGCTGTGGTTACCTTACCTGAACTAATCTTAATGTTCACATTATCAAATCATTCTAATAGCAGGTTAACAATAGTGACAAAAAAAAATTGGTCATTTTCTTACTAAATATATCTGAGGATACAAAACTGAAGATTAAGGCTTTATTTAGCTGGTGGAACTCAATGTTAATCTGCTGTTTCAAAACTAGTGATCCAGTATAAATTATTTTAGGTCAGGTAAGACTATAGACAATATGGAATGATGTATAGGTGGAAAGCAAAATTGGCTTTTGAATAAGCTTAAGGCTCTAAAAAGAATCCAAATTTCCCTTTAAAGGTAGCTAGTTTTTCTCCATATCATACTTTTAAGGTTGATTACCTTGACAGGCATTGGTAGCCAAAGATTTCTGCTTCCCTGAGGAGTTGTGGAGCACAGAAAAAAAGGCAAGCCTTATTGATAAGAAATACTGAACATGTCTATGTTCAGACAGATTTCCTCATTGTTTCACATCAAGGAGTGGTTCTTTAATCATGCAATTAATAATTCAAATAAAAAACGCTTCAAAGAGAGTAATATTAAATCATCGTATGTAAGTACTACCAAGAATATTTAAATTTAATTTACTTTTTTGAACCAAAGCTGTTAAAAAATTTTTTATTATTCAATTAAAATGAAACCCACAAAAATGACATTCCATGGTATAGAGATCCTAAATATTTTGATATACTAAGAACTAGTATTATGTAACAGAAAACTGAAAAGAAGAATATGTCATTCTTTTTCTAATGTCCTTCATGCCTCAGAGAGGAAAATTTTTTATGAAGAATCCAATAAATACATTATATAGATAAAAATAGATTTAGCCTCTATTTAATTAGATTAAGTGTACAAATTGTAGTCTGAGTTCTTCTGAGTTATCCTAAGAAAAAGAAATGTAGTATTCAGCAATTGATAATGGTTTAGGTTGTCTTAAAATAAATGGTGTATTAATGTAGATTATATTTTACTAAATTCCAACACAATTAAAAGCTCAAATACTTATCTTCATTACTACTAACAGTAACTTCATTACTTCATTAAATTACTTACTTCATTAAATCTTATTAATCTTGACTTTCACAGATGAACCACTGACCAGTCAGTAAATCACACCCGCTACATTTGTCTGCCAAGAGCGATCAAATGGTAGGTTGGAATTTGAAATTCATAACCAGAAAGCTTTGGTGCTTTAACTAAGTTTTCAGTGTCAGTAGAAGTACCTATTTCGAATGAAACAGAAACTACAGCAGGAAATTCTTCTTTTCCTCTTTAAAAAGAAACAAAGTCAAACTCATAGGAGAAAAGTATGACTTCTCTTCAATTTTATTTCTCTAATTCAAAATTAGTAAAGGAAAAATCCGAAATCTCCTCTGCCGTAAGAAGGAGAAAGAATGCCTTTCACCTCAGGTTCTAACTGGCCACATCTAGTTTTATTGTGCAGCCCGTGGTACTAAAAAGCAGAAAAAAAGCAGAGCTGTAGATTGGGAATGAACATTACATAAATCTTGAAGGATCATCCCAGGACACCCTTCCATCTTTGTGACAAACCAAGTTAGTTATAAGTTTCTCTGGAGTAAAGAGACTTCCTGGATCCGTATTTACACACTGACTGACTTTATTAAAATAAGCACTTACACATTTTGGAATGTGAATTAGCCCTTAGAACTTGGAAACTGCTGCTTGAATACCTTTTGAAGGCAAAGATTTTTTTTTTTATTCTGGTAATTTTACTCCCTCTATAATAGCAGAATATTCAGATGGTTTAATGTGAAGTTAAAAGTAATTGTTTAAAGATGTTTTCTTTTGTATATAACTTGTCAGTTGGTAGAATTTCCCATCACCTTTCTTTCAAAAATTAATTGATTATTTTTATGACTTAAAAACACATATTATATCAGATATTTTGTTTTAGCTATTTGTAACCGTAACCCAGTACTATAGTGTTGCTATCTTTAAATAATAACCCTATCATATCTATATATTATCTGTTAGTGGGGTTTAAATGTCTTGACTTTTAGTATATATTTGTTTATTAGTTTAAAAAAATCAGTATTTTTTAATACTCTGTAAAATATTTGCATGGGATTTTCATCATATTATGTTTGCTTAACTAGTGAGGGTTTTTTTTCCATTTACGAGTGTCAATTCGTTTCTCAATATATTCTCACAGAAGAAGGCATACCATTTTTGTTGTAACAAAGACAATTTCTTAGTTGACAAGCACTGGAAATAAATATCCCTGAACCCCCCCCCCCCCCGATATTTCTTCCTAGAGATTTTTATCATGCAAATCACAAAATACAAATTGGTGCTTTTATAAATATTCTGAAACTCTCAATGAAAAATAATGAAAACAAGATTCTCCCTGGCTTTCTGTAATAATATTAGGATATGCAACTGAAAGAACTTTAATTTGAATCCAGAGTGGTTTTGGGTTTGGTTGGTTTGGTTAATTTGATTCGGTTTTGGGGATTAAAATATGTTCTGATTCCTGATGGAGCAGTTGTTCTGATCAGTCATTACCTCTTCCTGACAAAAACTGTCATTAGAAAGTTCAAATAGCATGTCCCAAATATTTGTAGGACATTTGTAAACCAGCGAGAATTGAATTAACTTAATTTGGTATTCCTAAAAAGCAATATTTTCGAATAACTGCCAACCAAGGTCACAGTGTAGGGGATGTCATTTGCACATGACAATTTTTAACAGTGTAGTTCTCACCACTCTCAACAAACCTAAATATGTTTTTAATTAATAACTTTCCAAATTTATCAACTTTTAGAAACACAGGAATGAAGCGTTGGACTTAAGTGATCATTTTGCAATTGAAATAAATCTCGTCCTCTCACCTGTATCTTGCAAGTATTATATGTAGCAATACTTCGTATCATCCTATCACAAGTATTTGTTAAGTGACTTAGTTAATGGCTGATAAATGTTTTGTAAAAAGTAGAATCTGTACAGAAAAATATTAGATAAATTGTATTTATTTTTATTATTTTTTAGCTTAGACACTATAATGATGCTCCTTTTTTGCCAGAATTACTGGAAGTGCCTCTTGGTTTTATATATATATATATTAATATTACAGTAAATATGTACTCAAAATTATTAGAATTGTGTCACAGATGACCAATGTGGATGTTATAATGTGAAGATAATGTATAATATAAACATAATACTGTGGTATCATGTTTGATGTAGTTATTTGTACAACTCCAGTACTCTAGTCTTCTGAAGTCATCCTTAGCTGTCATGTCCAAATACAGTGTCTTATGCCCAGCCTCCACTGCAGTGAGCCATCCATTGGCCTTGCTACAATTTCCAAGGATCCTGGGGCTCAGTTCCCATGGTCACATCTCTCTCCCTATCACTGATGAATTCTCAGCTGTATTACTCTTCATCTAACTTTCTGAGGCTAAGCTGTCTCCTTTATCTAACTGAGTAGTTGGCACCAAAACTGAGCTATCCCAGTTTGAGATTTCCAGCATTCAGCTTCAGAGTCCTATGAAATAGACAGTGCTACCATTTATTCTAAAAAGGCTACAGTTTATCCTAGAAAAACTGTCTATGGATGCCCAATATATAGGATATTTAGTTATACAGACTTAGAATTATTTATGTCCTGTGTATTTGAAAATCTTTAGAAAATTTTGAATGATTTCAGAGTGTTAATTAACTTAAATACAGTCCTCAGAAACAAATAAAAGCAAAATACAATTTTTACCCAAAGTTCCCAAGGAATTGATTCTTCAATCTATACACATTGCTTTCCCCATTACCTATGAGACAAAATCCCAATTCCTAAGCTTCATATATTCAAAGCTTCCTTCCACTTTGGCCTCAAACTATCCCCCTACCAAAGGAACCAGCCATTTATCATGTATATTTCTGTGTCTCAGGCAAATTATATATGAGTGGAGTATTTACCTACTCTGGATGCATATATTTTCTTTCTCACTTTGTACACACACACGCACAAATTCTTCCAACTACACACAGCACAACGGGCTAGACTGACTATGTCTTCTTCAGTTGTGATTTTTCTCCCTCTCGGGCCTTCCTCTTGTGGTGATACTCTGGTCCTCAGTGGAAGGCAGGCAATGGCTGGGTATCCAGTCTGCACCTTCATCTCCTTCCTGTGCTACGGTGCTGTCAAAACTGGTCTTAGGTGAAGAAAAGTTAATTTACATAATAGGATAAGAGACGTGATGATAGGTAAGGTCTAATGAGCCTGAAATCCAGGCCAGAGGAAAAGGACAGCCATAGCCACTGCCTGAAATAGAAAGCCTCAGTGATCAGATTAGTGTATCCTTGATCACCCTATTCCATACTTTGTCCAATGCTACAGATCACCCCTCCACCCGCTGAACCACATGAGGTGGAGCATGGGGTATGGATACCACACCCTGACCAATGAAAATAAAAATCAGATCAAATCAGTTGTTAAGTAATTAGAGAACCTTCTGTTTGTTAGGATAGATCTAGGCAACAGTCTTGCTTATTTTAATCCTGGAGCTACTTCATGTCCTGACCATTCTTTCTGACATCATTGCTAGCTTAAGGTAAGGAGCCTCAGATCCACCTCTGCTGAAATCTGTCAGATTTGAAGAATTGTCAATCTGCCTGTGCTGTCTGGGGTCCTCTGGGCTGCTGGGACAGAAAGAACTGGATAGGAGTAGGGGGATGGTATTGCTTCATACTTTATAGTTAACACTCAGGATGGAATCACTCCTTGCTCTACTGTCAATTTGACTGGCATTCCCCTGCCAGATGCCAAAGGTGAATCCATTGAAGGCCTGGTCTCTGGTCTTCAGGGACTTTAAAGTAGATAAAGATGATATATCCATTTTCTATTTCTGCCTTAATAAATTACCACCAACTTGATGACTTAAAACAATGCGAACTTGATGGAGTAATGTCAGCATCATGGCAGAGTGAGTTGTTCACTTTGTCTCTCCCCTGTAAGTTACAACTAAATGGACATCCATTACCCAACAGAGGATTCCCTACACAACACAATAGGATGCCTGAGAGATCCACCCAGCTATATATCTGAAGGTTGGTGGACTACACCTGCAGGAAGCAGTGGAACTAAGGAAGCAGACCCCTCCCCCTCCCCAGCAGCAGCAATCTAGGTCACAGATCCTCACATAGCAGTGGTATGAATGTGAATGAAGGTAGGGACAACCTGGCCGGCATGTGAATGCTTTCAGAGTGGTAGCCCAGGCCATGGGTGCACCCACTTACCACAGGGCCTGCCTGCATGAATGCTCCCCACTGAGCAGTAGTAGCTCAGCCTGGGTAGGTACCCTGCCTACTGAGTGGAGCATCCTAGCTGGACCTGGCCATCAAACCGAGCAGCCAGCCTGTGCAAGCGCGATCCGCACACTGAGAAGCTACAGCCAACTCACATAAACACAGAGCAGCCTGACAAGCACAACTACCAGCAAACAGGGTGGGAACAGAAGACACAGCCCCTGCCTGCAATCCCAGCAGTGGCAGGTGAATCTGTGGCCAGATAATACCACAAATGCACTGGCAGAGGATCAATTCATCAAACACCATGAAGAACTACAGTAACACTGCAGAACAGAAGGAAAATGACAACTCTCCAGAAACCAAACCTGAAGTCACAGAAGATTATAATCTAAATGACAGAGAATCCAAAATAGCTGTAATAAAGAAACTCAGTAAGTTACAAGAAAACACAGAAAGACAGTTCAATGACCCCAGAAATAAAATTAATGAATGGAAGGAACACTTTACCAAAAAGACTGAAGCCTTTAAGAAAAAAATCATACAGGGGCTGACCCAGTGGTGTAGCAGTTAAGTTCATGCTCTCTGCTTAGGTGGCTTGGGGTTCACCAGTTCAGATCCCAGGTGTAGACCTATGCACTGCTTATCAAGCCATGCTGTGGCAGGCAGCCCACATATAAAGCAGAGGAAGATGGGCGTGGATGTTAGCTCACAACCTATCTTCCTCAGCAAAAAGAAGAGGATTGGTAGCAGATGTTAGCTCAGGGCTAATATTCCTCAAAAAAAAAAAATATAGAAATTCTGGATATGAGGAACACAATGAGATAAAAAAAATAAGTAGAAAACATAAAAAATAGAACAGACCTTATGGAGGAGTGACCTGGAAGATAGAAATCTAGAAATGCTTCAGGTGGAGGATGAGAGAGAACTAAGATTTAAAAAGAATGAAGAAATTCTTCAAGAAATATCCTACTCTATTAGGAAAAGTAAAATAAGGATTATAGGTATCCCAGAGGGAGAAGCAAGGGAGAGAGGAGCAGAGAGCTTGTTCAAAGAAATAATAGCTGAGTACTTCCCAAACCTGGAGAAATAACTGGACATACAAGTATATAAAGTCAATAGAGCTCCTAATTACATCAATGCAAAAAAGACTTTCTCCAAGACATATAATATTAAAACTGTCAAAAGTCAATAAAAAAGAAAAAATATTAAGGACGGCAATGCAGAAGAAAGTAACCTGAAACCTATCAGGCTTTCAGCAGATTTATCAGCAGAAACCTTACAGGCTCAGTGAGAATGGGATGATATGTTCAAAATACTGAAAGACGAAAACAATCAGCCAAGAATACTCTATCCAGTGAAATGATCCTTCAGATATGATGGAGAAATAAAATCTTTCCCAGGTAAACAAAAGCTGAGGGAGTTCATTGCCACTAGACCTGCCTTACAAGAAATGATGAAAGGAGCCTTCCTACCTGAAACAAAAAGGCAAAGATTTACGAAGCTTTGAGCAAGAAAATTAATAGACAGACAAAATCAGAAAACTGAAGCTCTCTGTCAGAATAGGTTAGCAAACAATTATAAAAGATAAAGGGAAAGATGGCATAAAAAATAACCATAAAATTTCAATTTAGTTGCAAACTCACAACACAAAAAAGAATAATTTGTGGCAACAATAACTCAGAAGGAGAAAAGGAAAGGGATGGAACCAGCCTAGGCTAATGGAAATAAGAGGCTATTAGAAAATGGACTATCTCATCTTTGAGATCTTTTATACAAACCTCATGGTAATCACTAAACAAAAAATCAGAGCAGAGTCATAATTCATAAATAAAGAGAAAACTGAGAAAACCATCACAGAAAACCACCCAGCTGAAATGGCAGTCAGAAATACAACAACAACAGTAACAAAAAAAACCAGAAATACAGAACAACTGGAAAACAAGAGATAAAATTGCAGTATTAAGCCCTCATATATCAATAATCACTCTAAATGCAAACGGATTGAATTCACCAATCAAAACACACAGAGTGTCTTGATGGGTTAAAAATCAAGACCCCACAATATCCTGCCTCCAGAAAACACATCTCAGCTCTAAAGACAAACACAGGCTCAGAGTGTAGGGTTGGAAGATGATACTCCAAGCTAATGGCAAACAGAAGAAAGCAGATGTTGCCATACTTACATCAGACAAAGTAGACTTCAAGATAAAAAAGATAATGAGAAACAAAGAGGGGCAACATATAATGATAAAAAGGATATTACACCAGGAGGACACAACACTTATGACGATATATGCACCTAAGGCACGAGCACCAAAGTATATAAAGCAACTATTAATAGACCTAAAGGTAGAAATTAACTGTAGCACAATAAAAGTAGGGGACCTCAAAACCCCATTTACATCAATGGATAAGTCATCCAGACAGAAAGTCAACAAGGAAACAGTGGACTTAATAGAGATACATAGACCATTCCATCCAAAAACAGCAGAATTCACATTCTTCTCAAGTCACATGGAACATTCTCAAAAGTAGACCATATGTTTGGAAACAGGGCAATCCTCAATAAATATAAGAAGATTAAAATCATGTCAATCATCTTTTCCAAACACAATGCTATAAAACTAGAAATCAAGTACAAGAAAAAGGCTAAGAAAGTCCCAAATATGTGGAGACTAGCAGCATGCTACTGAACACCCATTGGATCAATGGAGAAATAAAAAAATAACTACAGACAAATGAAAATGAAGACACAACAGACTAACTCTTATGGGATGCAGTAAAAGTGGTACAAAGAGGGAAATTTATAGCAATACAGGCCTACCACAACAAACAAGAAAAATCTCAAATAACTAACCTTAAACTACACCTAACAAAATTACAAAAAGAACAAACAAAGCCCAAAGTCAGCAGAAGGAAGGAAGTAA